AAAAAAAAAGATTTGGATTTGGCTTCTCGCTTTAGCAAAGTTCGACTAATCACGTCAAAACTAGTGTCTGAGGTTGACATAAATTGCCAAGTTTTCTTTTTCTTGAATTTCCTGACCTCAGAAACTGCTGAACATCATTGCGAGCGTTCTCCATCTGGGAAACACTCTCTTTGGGGAAGGGGAGGAAGGAGAAGCGTACGTCACCACGGAGACCCAGCTAACAGACCTGGCAAAGGTCAGAGCAGTTTCCACTGACATTACTTAAAAACAAACAAGAAAACAAAGTATCTGAGAACATGATGTGTCTTTGTTTTGCAGCTGCTGGGCGTTGATGTCTCAGCCCTGAAGGAGGCACTCACACACAAGAAACTAACCGCCAAAGGAGAGGAGGTGACTCCACTTGTTTGCTTCTTTTCACTTGCTGTGTGTTGAGTAATTCTTTATTAAAGTTTTATTTTTCTTTGTGTAACGCAGATGATCAGCCCGCTAAATTTCGAGCAGGCAGTGTCTGCCCGTGACGCTTTGGCCAAGGCGGTGTACGGTCGGACCTTCACCTGGTTGGTGGAGAAGATCAACCAGTCTCTGGCTCTGAAGGTGCACTGTGGGAAATGTGTGGGAATTGTTGGATTTTCTGTAATTAAACTGAAGCGTAAACTTCAGAGTAGGGTCTGACCTGCTCTGTTTGGAAAGCGCTGTGAAGTAACTATATACCTCACGCTATAGAAATAAGATTGAATTGAATTTAATTGAATAACTCTGCGAACAAAAGATCTAGTTATGCTGTGAGGCTGCTGTGGTTGCCATTAACGTGCACATTATTAATGAATATTACTAATTAATATTAAACTGCAGGATGAAATCTACCACAGCAGCAAAGGCTCCTCGGTCATTGGGCTTCTGGACATCTACGGCTTTGAGGTCCTGCAGCACAACAGGTCCGACTCCTAACCATTTCTTTAACCCTATAATGCTGAATGTGTCATATTTGATACATACGGTTTCTGAAGTCTTTTGGATCTGAGACTTTTTGCATCATTCAGTGGTAAAAGCTTTGCTCAAACCCCTGTTGTACACATTCAGATATACCTGATAACAGCCGGTAGAAGACTACACCAAAATATATTTTTGACTTATTGCACGCTGATTTGATCAAAATAATTTAAGTTTTTTTTTCTTCATGTGTTGTTGAGGGGCCAAAGAAAGACTTCAGACTAAAAAAATCCAATATTCTTCATATTTTTCTTGGATCAGGCTTTAAAAGGTTAAATAATTTCTCACAATGTTAGTTAATCTGAGTATTTTTCAAAAGCAGCACAAATATTTTTGTGAGCGTTTTTAAGGTATTTTTGACTGATTCCCCGTCCTTCTACTTATAGTTTTGAGCAGTTTTGCATAAACTACTGCAACGAGAAGCTCCAGCAGCTTTTCCTGGAGCTCACCCTCAGATCTGAGCAGGAGGAGTACGAGACAGAAGGAATTGCTGTGAGTCTGTTTAGTTCGAAACCAAATGAACATGTTGTTTCATAAACATCTACTTTTTTAAGTTAACGGATCCCTGTCTTTAAATCGCAGTGGGAGACGGTGAAATATTTCGACAACAAGATCATATGCGACCTAATAGAGGAGAAACACAGAGGCATGATCTCCATTCTGGTGTGTAGCACATCTGCTAGTACATGAACTTTGCTTTTTGTAGTGTCTTTACCTTTGTAACTGTCTAAGTTGAACACCGTGACTTGGTTTCAGGACGAGGAATGCCTGAGACCCGGCGAGGCCTGTGACGTCTCCTTTTTGGAGAAACTGGAGGACACCATTGGCGGCCATCCTCATTTCATCACGTAAGCGTCACGTTCGTAAAAAGTCCTTTTTTTTTCTCTCGATTCACGCGTGTTAGTACGTCTGCATGTGTGTTTCTTACAGGCACAAGCTGGCAAATGGAAAAACTCGCAGGGTCGTGAGCAGGGAAGAGTTCAGGCTGCTACATTATGCAGGGGAGGTGAACTATAACGTCACTGGTAGGTTTTTAAATAGTCAAACTCAAATATTTGCTCATAGAGTTTCCTCATGAGACTGAAACGTATCACAGGGAAATGACCCACATCCATGTGATTAATCAAAACAGTTTTTCCCCCTGACAAGGTTTCCTCGACAAGAACAATGATTCACTCAACCGGAACCTGAAAGAGGTGAGGTTAATAAAGGGAGAATATAAAACTAAAGCGTATCCAGCCGTGGAATGACAGAGAGGGCTGTATGGTGTGTTGACGTGTGGTTTTGTGGGTTTTTTCTTGTGTAGGTCATGTGCCAGTCAGACAACCAGATCCTAAGTCAGTGCTTCCGCAGAGAGGAAGTGATCGACCAGAAGCGTCCAGAGATGGTACGAGTTAACTCAAATAGATGCTAACACATAGAGGAAATACAGACAATAAAGACGTCCCTAGAGAATGTTAATCATCAACATACCAATCGACGAGAATTTTCTTATAGTTTCGTGTGCTTTTATTTGTTCTATAGGCCGCCACTCAGTTTAAAAACAGTTTGATGAAACTGATGGAGATCCTTATGTCCAAAGAGCCGTCCTACGTGCGCTGTATCAAACCCAATGATGCCAAGCAGCCAGGTACCCCGGACGTTATGTGAATTCGCTTAGAAAATCCGAATGGTAAATAATTAGTCTCGAACATATCAATGAATTAAAAGTAGATTCTACACAAATATGAGGGAAATATGAGTAAAAACAACTTACCTCTATCATGGTTTAGGTTTATTTTACTCTCTCACTGATTGATCTTTGATTGATTTCATTCCACCGTTCTTTCCGAAAGGATGATCTTCACGTGAGCCATTTTTAGTAGTTGTACATGTGTTTGAAAAAATCCATATCATCAAGAATAACTTAAATAACTAAAGTGTAATGGCGTTGTTTACAGTGTTTTTTGTTGTGTGTGTTCTTTGCAATGAGTAAAAACTTTGTCTACAGCACGTTTCGATGAGGTTCTGGTCAGACACCAGGTGAAGTATTTGGGTCTAATGGAAAACCTGAGAGTCAGGAGAGCCGGTTTTGCTTATCGTCGTCGCTTTGAGGCCTTCTTACAAAGGTGAATGATGCATTTTTCAAACGGCGTACAGCTATTGGTGGCTTTTTTTTTCTGACTGTCCTCATAGTGATGTGCAACTGCCTTTAGGTATAAACCCCTGTGTCCTGAAACGTGGCCCAACTGGCATGGGAGACTGGTAGATGGTGTTTCCACACTGGTCACCCACCTAGGGTACAAAGAAGAGGAATACAAACTAGGAAGGTAAGTGGAGACAGAGGAAGATGTAGTAATATATCATCAGTAAAATTATATATACAGATGTGGTGAGGACAAATGTAAGGTAAAAGAACAGACACAATTAATTATTTGAAAATCACAAATTTAACAGAAGAATACATTCTAAAAGCTCACTCCAAGTCCAACCCACTAAAAACATTTGATATATTGTGAATGGAAAAAACAAAGAAGGCAACTGAGCTGTTAAGACGTTATAAGCTTATATACAGGTTATAAATGTGTCCCTAAACTGTCCACTGTTGAGTTCAGTGTTTTTGTGAACCACAGATTTCTTGTCATCTCTCTGCAGGTCAAAGATTTTCATCCGTTTCCCAAAAACTCTCTTCAACACAGAAGATGCACTTGAGGCCAAAAAGCCAGAGATTGGTAGGTGGCAAAGATCCAGGTTTTAAACATTAAAGAATAAGAAAATGGATACCTTTGGGAGGACATTCTGTGTCGTGTTCAGGTGTCAGTAGTATTAAAACCTCTTATCATTGCTATCATCATTCCCTGTTTTGCCAGTGAACACAATGACTGACACATTGACTGACTTTATGTTTAACCCAGAACAGAATTATTAATCCGTTTCAGATGTCTGCAGCACACCTTAATACTTTGTTCTCCCCCAGCTGTGATCCTCCAGACTTCATGGAGAGGCTACAGAGAAAGGGCCAAGTATCAACGCATCCGAAACGCAGGTGTCCGACAGCTATCATTCAAAACACCACCTACAATGCGCTCAAAAATGACGTTTTTTAAAGTTGATATTCTCTCTTCCGATGTTTATTAACATTAACTATTAATTAATTATTCAGTCGGCCCATGGCAGAGTATCTCATAATTGTATCATTCCTTGTGTTACTTTAAACTATTCTTTAACCTGTTGACTTAGTGTAAAAGCTGTGTCCTTAACGAATGCGTGTGTGTGTGTGTGTATGTGTGTGTGTGTTTGTGTGTGTGTGTGTGTGTGTAGTGGTGGTGATCCAAGCAGGATGGCGAGGGATGAAAGCACGCCGGCGAGCGAAAAAGCGTCGGCAGGCTGCTGAGCTGATTCGGAGGTTTTTCACTAATGCTTGTTTCAATTCCTTTAAAAACCCAATTTAGCATTCTTGTTTCATATCCAACCTGACTCTTTATTTTTTCTTCCAGGTTCATAAAGGGCTTCATCTACCGCCATGAGGACTACGGCCCTGAGAATGACTACTTCCTGGATCACGTGCGTTGCTCTTTCTTGAAAAAGCTGAGTAAAAACCTGCCCAGGAGCGTTTTGGACAAAAGCTGGCCCACGCCTCCTCCCTCCCTTATCGAGGTACAAACACCCGCGCTTACACAGTCGGGTTTTTCCAACCGACTGAGAATTAATCGGACTCATGAAGGGGATTTTTTAACCCCGTCTACAGGCCTCGGAGCACCTGAAGAGGCTACACTTGCGGAACATGGTGATCAAATACTGCAAGAGGGTCCAGCCTGAGTGGAAAAAGCAGGTGGGAATACATTCAATTCAATTCAATTTTATTTATATAGCGCCACATCACAACAACAGTTATCTCCCAGCTTTCCAAACAGAGCAGGTCAGACCCTACTCTGAAGTTAATTACAGAAACCCAACAATTCCCACCATGAGCAAGCACTAGGCGACACAGGCAAGGAAAAACTTCCTTTTAACAGGCAGAAACCTCGAGCAGAACCATGGCTCAGGGTGGGCGGCAATGGCAATGATATTAATACTAATGATAATGGTAGAAGTCATGACAGAAATAACACTCTGCAGAGTAGTAGTAGAGCAGGAACACGGGGACATCAGGAAACTCCCAACCACAGATCCAGACTCCACAGCTCTAGGAACACCTGCAGGAAGTGATAGGAGGAGACTCGTACATCAAATAACTCGTCTCGCATCATTTTTCTGTGCCTTCCAGATGATGCAAAAGGTCGTAGCCAGTGAGCTCTTCAAGGATCAGAAAGACAGCTACCCTCAGAGCGTCGGGAGGTTGTTCCTGGACTCTCGTCTTGGTATGTTTTTATGTAGACACTGGTTAACCCTTTAAAGCTTGATCCAAGAATAAAACAAAACAGAAAATTACTTTTTTTTTTGTTTGAATTCCTTATTTGGCCTTTTAACAAAATATGTAAAAAGAAAAAACAGAAATACATTTTTGATATTGATAATTTATTACTATGCAATAAGTCAAGATTATTTTTTTCTGTAGTCTTCTGCCCCCTGTTATCAGGTGTATCTGATTGTGTGCAATAGGATTTTGAGCAAAGTTTTTAACATTAAATTACGCAAAAGGTGTCAGACGCAAAACATTTCAGAAACCGTATGAATCAGATATGATACATTTGGCATTACAGGGTTAAATCATTACCCGGTTTAACTTCAAATTCACACATTTCAATTGCTTCGTTTAGATCGAGAGCAAATCAGTCTGAAGGTCCTCCAGACCCTTGGCAGCGAGAAAGTTCAGGTGAGAATAATCTGAAATTGTTCAAAGACCGTGATGACGACAGTAAATGCTGCCAGGAAAACTTTGTGTCTCCTTTATTTGTCAGTACGGAGTCTCTGTGACTAAATACGACAGGAGGGGATTTAAGCCCCGCCCCCGTCAGCTGCTCCTCACTAACACCTTTGCTGTGCTGGTGGACAGGACCAAGATCAAGCAGAGGCTGGACTACTCGGCTCTGAGGGGTAAAAACTGCCCGCTGAGAGTGCTGTGATAAAGTGTGGAGTTACCCCTCCATTCTTTGAGTGTATTTCTATGAATGAAAGACATAGGTGAAGCTATTTATGTGATAGCTAACACAGATTTGTTTGCAAACTTGACAGTGAACGCACTTTTATTCTCAGAATAGCCTGAACCTTCTTCAACAATCTTTGTTCTCAATTTAATAAGTTGTTGAGCTTCTTTAGTAAAATTTCTAAGCTTTTTAGACCGTTTTTTGTGTCATTTGCCACACTCAGACTCTCTCCCCAATTTTTTCCTTCTTTAACAATAACCTTAACCCACATCATCAACTGTAATTGTCTTTTTTTACATCTCTAAGCTCACCTTATTTGGTTAAAATGGTCCTATTCTGAGTGTAGAGCCCCATTAAGTCATGCATCAACCTTCGAAAATAGGATTTATCCAAATAAGTATTTTATTTATTTATTTATTTATTTGAATAGGGACAAAGCACATTAATAAACATCAGTCGAAAACAAATGTAAATGTGCCGGATTATGGCTACAAAGCTAATTTTCATCCGTAGTCCCAAATAATAATTTTATTTTTTATTTGATAACCAAATATCAAATAATCTCCCCAGTGAGAGAACAGACAGCTGATGGATTTGGGGATAGACAGATTTTAGGATAGTATTTTTAGGATAGTAGAGTAAAGCACCACAAAGTCAGCCTGTATTAAGTATTTTTAAAACAGTAAATTGAGTAAATTGAAGTTTTCTTGTATTTACAGGCATCTCTGTGAGCTCTCTCAGTGATGGGATGTTGGTTCTGCACATGCCCTGTGAGGACAACAAACAGAAGGTACGTCAGGACTCCACGTTTCAGGTCGTTTTTTGTCACGTCTGGGGGAATGTCTGGTGTCTCGTCATGTGTTGATTACCTATTGTGTACACCTGGGGTTCCCCTCCCTCATGTGTTTAAATAGTCCTCGTTTCCCATGTCCTGTGCCAGTTCGTTTTCGTCTTTCGTCTCCCCATGTCACGTAAGGTTTTGCTTTTGCTCCATGCCATAGTCTTATTTACTTTGTACCATAGCCATGTTTTTGTCATAGCCTTGTTTTGCCACAGTCTTGTTAACCTTGTTTTGCCATAGTCTTGTTTTGATACTTTTGCCACAGCCATGTTTATCTTGCTTTTCTACTTTGATCATAGTTTTCGCACAGCCTTGTTTTGAACTTTGTCACCATCCACTCCACGAGTGAGTTTTTGTTGCAATAAACCCCGTTTTCTGAATCTCCGCGACTGAGTCCTCCCTCCAAGATCCAAAACCTCTCTGTCAGAGAGATGTGGCAAAACAAGGCTATGACAAAAACATGGCTATGGTACAACGTAAATAAGACTATGGCATGGAGCAAAAGCAAAACCTTACGTGACATGGGGGGACAAAAGACGAAAACGAACTGGCACAGGACATGGGGAAACGAGGACTATTTAAACACATGAGGGAGGGGAACCCCAGGTGTACACAATATGTAATCAACACATGACGAGACACCAGACGTTCCCCCAGACGTGACATTATTTCGAGCGTACAACATTATGGCCCCTCCTAATCCGGCGGTCTCTGCCTCAGGGGGACGCGGTGCTGCACTGCGGCCACCTGATCGAGGCGGTGACCAAAGTGGCCACGATGGCCAGTAAGGTCAACTACGTCAACATCAGCCCGGGCAGGTGAGGCCTTCACTGACAGTCGGTCTTTGCAGACTCATCGTCTGCACTTATCGTCTCATCATTTTTTCTTTTTTCGTGTGTGTGTGTGTTGCAGTATTCGGTTCTCTGTGGCTCGAGGGAAGGAGGGAATCATTGATTTCATCAGGGGCTCGGAGCTAAAGGTGGCCAAAGGCAAACGAGGACATCTGCTCGTGGTGAGTCAGAGTTTGTTCTGGTATCGTGGGGGGAAAAGTGGGGGGGGGGGGGAAGAAGGAAGGAGGGCTTTGATATCAAAAAACATTTTGTCCAGCTGACTGTTTTCAATCTGGTTTCACTCTTCAGACCGCCCCTCGGATCAGCGAAACATGAAGACAAAGAAACCCGGAGAGACAGTAATCCTTCTAAGTATATCCAAGATGGCCACTCAGAAGTTTTCTGCTCCTTGTTAGTTACCACAGAGAACTAAATATACACAAACAGAAGAAAAGAGTCCTAATCATTCATATTCTGTCCATCTTTATCATAACAGAAGGGTTTGCCATTGATAAAAATGGTAAAAAGGTTTCATATTCTGTCCATCTTTATCATAACAGAAGGGTTTGCCATTGATAAAAAGGATTTTATAAAATGTTTTTGAATCATAATATATCATTCTCACAGTTTCAGATGCATAATCTCTTTATTGTGACCCATTCACAACACTTTATATAACACACATAAATATCCTCTGTAAAGCACTGTCCGTCTCTCGAGACAACTCCAACAAACCACTTTAAAATAAATAGTGTTTCAATAAATATGTTTAAATAAATAGCAAATATTCTTTCGGAAAGTCCAGAAGATTGAAGTTGTGGTGGAAAAACAGGATGTTGGGAGGGGGTTCGCACCGGGAGCTTATTTCTAAATTACGGTTCGAGCTGAGACAGAAACTCTGGGAAGTACCCGAAAAAAGCCCTAAAAACACAATAATTACATGTCATGTAATGAAGAAGATGTCTTCTTTCTTCTTTTTAATGTTTGCGTGTGCTTTCCTTGTCGGCGTGGTGTCTCTTTTTGTTCTTTGAAGCCAGTAGGAGAAAGTCTCTTGCTAACTTTGTGAGATACAGATCTAGGTCTCTTAACAGGATGTAGCCTTCCACTCGACTGTCCCACACCGTTTTGGTAGTTTTTCCTGGGTCAATTTGCACCGAGGAGGCCGTGGGCTTTATCCAAGATCTCCTTATGAATCTCATCTGGAGGAAAAAAGCAGAACAAAGTTTACAGAGCGGTTCTGATGTCACTTCCTTCAAAAGTCTGCGTGCGGTGAGAGAAAGAGAGGGGGTGGAAAGAGGGGGTGGATTTCAGTAAGAAGCCAGTGGACACCTGATTGCTGACTTGGTTCATCAGGTCTCGTAAATCGAGCTGGATGTGCTTCATGGTCTGGGGTAAAGTGGTCGGGGCCGACCGCTGCCTCTCCTCCATTTCCAGCTGTTTCCGCCTCCCCTCCAGCACGTTCCAGTAGGCCTGCATGTCCCAGAAAGCCCCGTGCAGCCGGTCCCAGTCCTCAACGCACAGAGACACGCAAATACACATGATCATCCGCTCAAAATCTAAGTTCTCAAAGGGGGATTCCGCTCAAAATTTTTTCAATTTTCAGACTCTGCAAGAGCAGACGTTCTGATGACGTCATTTTTTTTCTTCCAAAAAATGCAAAAAAAAAAGGTATTTGTATAGTTTCAAATGTCAAAATTCTCTATAAGTCTTGTGTTTGATTGGCAGAATAGCAGCCGATGAGTCACTAAGAGAGAAAAAGATACTAACCGACAACTTCAGCCATTCTGAGAAGTCTGTAGAAAGGAAAGGGAGACCCCTCAGGTGTCGGTTTCTGTCCTCAAAATGCACGTTACCCAACTGCTGCACCTTCTAATATAATGAGAAATATGATGTAGAAAAGAGTTGGAATTAGGTTAAAAAGATTTATTACATGAACAATGTTGAGCTGGAATGTCTTGGCTGCTCACGTGAGCAAAAATGGATATTCTCTACTCACGTATTTTTTCAGTAGGTGCTGAACGTGGGTTCTCGTGGTCTTTGCAAGTCGAAAAGAGGTGCTGTATTTACACCTCTGGACAAATGATGGAGCAGAAGAGTCCACACAGTTCAGTAGAGCAGCCAGGACCAAGAGAGTCTGCCACCAAACGCTCATCTGAGACAGAAAAAGGACGAGTGGGCATGAATTATCAGGCTAATCCTTATGTCAAATGAGCCATTTTTGCATCAGTTTTAACCATAAACTGCCCGAGTTAGGAGAAAAGTTACCACATTCTATACTTAGTATCTGAGAAGTAGCTTTTAGTGTCTTTGACAGAAAGTCCAGACCACAGCTTTCTTTCCCCACAGACACCTGGTGCCCACTTACTGTACATGAGGACTTCCTAGTTGTAAAAACTAAGTAAAAAACGTGTCTCCACAAGGAACCGAGTCCGGCTTTAGAGTACAGACAGCAGACCTCAGTCCCCAACATCAAGATCCAAATAAAGACCGGTTCGTTTTTTTAAACTCCAGTCAAAGTCTGAGACTTTATCAACGCTCACTGTAAAAAAATAGCATAATATTCCTAACAAATGTTCCTTTTTATGAAAACAAGTGCTCTGAGTCCTGGCTAATTCTTATAACTCTTGATAGCAAACACTAATGTAGCTTTGCACAAACCAACAACACAAGCAATAACAGAATAATAGAATAATAATATTCTTGTAGGCCTTACAGAAAAATATCAGAAAAACTATTTTTTCTTAAAGTTTTGATGTATTCAGTGGATGCATAAATGATTATTCCATTTAAATTACACAGATTTTTAACTCTCATTACACAGTTAAGGATGTAAAAATATAAGTTCATTAAATTCCTGTCAGTAATATGATTATTTTTGGGGCTTACCTTGAATGAGCAGCGAACGCCTCTCAAACACTTTGATGAACCTCCCGTACAGTGGCTCCATATTTATACACACACATCTGTTTTGCTCTTGCTTTCAGTTTCTATCGATCTGGAGTTTTTCTCATTTTTTTCCCCCCTCCCCCTCTCCATCGCGCCGGTTGCTGCATCTTGTTTGTGGTCGCCGAGATGATTCAGAAGCGGTGACGAGTTCTCTAAGAAACTCAAGCATAAACCCCCCCCCCTCCACCCCAAAACTCTCTAAATCCCCCTTTTTATTGCACCGTTAACCACCGTACGAGCTCCCAGAATGCATCACCCCACTCGTTATGAAGAAGTTTAACCTTATTTCTGTTATTTAACAGAAATAACATGAAGATTTGTGGAAAGTCGATCTGTAAAGTTTCATCTTGTGATACCTTGAAAGTTTTCCTACAACCTAACTCTGAAACTTCTGTTTTTTTTTTGGGTTGTTTTCTTGTAAGGGGGATGTAAAGTACAGTCTTGACTTTGCCTGTTCAGGGAATATTTGAAGTCTCATGATGATGATGATGATGATGATAAGTTTCAGTGAATTCGTGTAGAAGAGAGCAGGCCCGGTCATGATCAGTTTTTTGTTTTTTTTGTTTCTGCTGTTGTACTTATTGGAAATAGTTGGTGTTTTCAACGGCTGGCACATGATTGGAGGACACGGTGATTCAGCAGGATTTGATAACATGTGCCATTATCAGTTTTGATTTTTTTTTAAAGAAATGCAATTCTCTTTTTATTTTTGATTGCGAGTTGCTTGTTAACAAGTTCCATTGTACTTGTATTCCATACTTTTTGCCCTTTTTCATTTTTTTAAACACTATTGCTTTAAATGTGTTTATAATTTTGTTGTATTGCAATGAGAAGTAATCAATCATTTATTCGTCGTAAACTTTATTCAGCCTAAAAACTAAATGCTTTTGAAAAATGTATTAATTGAATCTAGATCTTTTCAAAGTTCTGTTTAGTAAATGCAGTTTGTTTGATGTATTTATATTAGAGGGATGTATGACAGTGTGTCAAATATGTACGTGTTTCAAAATGACAATATCATAAATAAAGTGATAAAAAAATCAACACTGACATTACTGACACTGAATCACAATGAGAGGAACAAGAAAAATCAAAAGAATAAAAATTATATCAGCAATTTGTAGTTCTTTTTATGCTGTTATGGATGAGTAAGAGGATCTTTCAAACAAAGATACATTTAGAGACACAAAATGCTACACCATATTGAAAATAATGAAAACAAATGAATAATTTGTTTGAATCATGTTGTGTGCTTAACTTATTACTGTAAACAATAAGGTGAAATAAAGTTATGTATCATACAGAGTCATGAAAATGTGTTTTTATTTTTTATTTTAAGTGTGCAAGATGAAGGGTCAGAGATGGGTTTAATCATTTTAAGGTTTAAAGACTTGCAAAGTTAATAGCAATATGTCTGAAAACTGCTTTAAACATGTGATGGATTTCTTTCTTTGCTTGGTAAGAACTAAATTTGAACAAATGTAATAAAGCAGACATATGAGAATAACAAGAATTACAGATTTGCTTGAGTTACCGTGAGTGGGAATGATGGAGCATTGTAGACCAAAATAATTAACAGAAGCATTAACAGAACAGAAGTCTGCATAAACTCTCCTTCCTTTGATTTCTGTTTAGGATGTTCTTCATCATGGAGTAATTAATCGTTACGGATTTAATTGATCTGTCTTTTATGATCATGGCCCTTATATTCGTTTGGAGATTTTTCTTTCTTTCTGTTTTTTCGCCACTTGCTCGAGTTCAAATTTGAAAACTGAGCGTAAATATATCTAAAGAGAAGAAGAAATTGTTTTGAGAGCATGTAAAGATATTCCAAAAGACAAAGTTTACTTTATTGATTCATGCTTTTTATAATCTAGAAACATACCAAACATCGATCATTCTTATTTTTCAGAAAAATGGTATTGTCTTTGAAGTTAATCGACTTAATGGATATTTCTAAATGAACAGAAATAATAAATAACCATGATGATGAGATTTCAAGTTGTTTTTTTTAATGAATGATTTGTAAAACATTAATACTTTATTAATTTTAATGGTTGTTTTTCCCCTCAATAAACATTGAGAGTTGATAAAAGCAGTTTGTTACATCTTATTTAGGTCATTTTTTTTAAATTCGGTAATGAATCATCACATAAAAAATCCCAGAAAACTTCCACGAGTGTTCACAGCGTATTTAATGATAACTAATAGATCTACTGCATGCTTCATAAAGAATTTCCTATCAAATTCTTATAGTTCAGGTAAGTTCTTACAGTTTAAAATAAATGAGTTTATACTTTATGGTGATTATACAGCACCTTTATCTTTGTGCTTTGCTGTTATTTTCAGTTCTCGTTTTAAAAAAACATCTTGATATCAGTGAAACCTGCTGAATAAAGAAACTTCCATCTGTCTAATCACGGTTACATAAAAAATATCAGGTTGTTAATAAAGTGTAGGAAACTTTACTGGCAGATAGCGGCTACTTTCAGTGGTAGAAATCACGCGCTCTGATTGGACCGTCGTGATGTGGTCTGGAAAGGAGGAAGGGATGCCCCGAAAGTAGGGCTTCCCTCCTTTTCTTCATCCCCTCCTCCTGTATTCCCCACAGAAGAAGTCCACGTCTTAAATTTGATAGTATTCAATTCAATTCAATTCAATTTTATTTATATAGCGCCACATCACAACAACAGTTGTCTCACAGCGCTTTCCAAACAGAGCAGGTCAGACCCTACTCTGAAGTTAACTACAGAAACCCAACAATTCCCAATTAGTACAGCTTACCCTCGGTCTATTGCAGTTGTAAGCATAGATTTTTAGTTTTGTTTTGCATTTCCTTCCTCTTTTTTCTAAATCGCATTTTATTCTGACCCAGCAGCCACTTCCCCCTTTTCAGCTTATCGGAAATTAAATATGCTTTTATCATGTGAGTGTTTTTTTTTTTTAAGAAAAAGTAAAAGTAAGCAAACACTTATGCAAGAAAAATACTTTTTTTTAAATGTGTGATTGGGTTGATTAAAGTCAGGTCAAATGAAATGGTCGTCTTTGTGTTTTATTAGATTCCTGCTTTTTCTGGGGAATGCTTACCTTAAAGCACTGACACGGTTATTTCTGATTTCCAGAGGAACATGAATCATAACAGAGACTAACACGTTTCTGATCCGATTTTTGCAATTCATCTCCTGACCCCAGACCTTCCATTTCACTCATTTAATAGGAAGAGTGACAGTATATTTAATGATAATTAATAGATCATTCTTTCTGAAGCATGCAGTGGATCTATGTGATGGTGAAAACTAAAAATGAACATTTGAATTGAATTAATTCTACTGTAAGCAGTGTTTTGTGAAAAATAATGCACACACCCGAATAAAAAGAAGCATTTACGCAGTTTTTAATACCCAAAGACTGATTCATACAGGAGATACTGCAGTAGATATATTGTTTTCATATATTTATTTACCTCTTCTTCTGTACTCGGCATGGAGGAGCCAGACTGTGAGAGACAGCAGAACTCAAATAGAAAAAGCAAAATAGTAGGGACTGTCAAAATAGCAGCATTGTGGTTAAAGCACTCATTCACATATTCAAATTCAGAATACAACAAACAAAAAGAGAAAAGAAATCTAGTTCGAATTAGAACTCTTAGGAGTAAAATAGTACCATCAATTGTGCTCAAAATACCTGAATTTGGTCCCAAGATGGAATGAAAAGTGTTAAAAAAGCAAGAATTTCCAAATCCCAATGTGAAATCCCTCCTTTTTAGAACATAAATTTAAATGAAAACCATGTCAGAGGAAGCTATTTGTTTTTTTCAGTTCAATTTAGCTATTTTTGTGCAGCCAGTGCCATCAAAAAAGTGATGAAGCATAAATATAAATTCAGGGAAATAATCAGTTGGAAACGTCTAACAATTTGGCAATTTGAACAATGTGGCTTAAAAAAAAAACAACCTTAAACTCTTGATTTTAAAATGCAGAATTAGTGTGATGAGTGAGTCTGTGCTAAACTGAGGAACTCTGTGCACCTCGCTCAAGTTGAGGCCCCATCTTACTTCCCTTTCTCTCATCCGAAGCACTCACCAATGTTAAATATCGTTATTACTGCTTTTCTTCTCTTGGTTTCACTCTTTGAGGCAGCTTCCAGACCTAATGGGTCTCATCCCCCCTGACTCTTCTCCACTTCTCCACTTAGGCCATATAATCCTGTAAATGGGAAAGAGGGATATCACACTTCATACAGAGTTGAACACAGAATCATAGCTCCGTTTCCCTCACATGAACTCTGGGATAAAATAGGGCAGGCGGCCAGACGAAAACATCAGAGGACAGCTGCGCGCCTCTGATGGCCACCAGTGGGGTCAGACAGTGTGTTTGGACAGCTTGAGGCCCGGGGAGGCTGTTATTCGGGGTCTTTTTTGCGCAATAACGGGTGCTATAAAAGCGTCCGGGCTCACCCAGAGCGAGATGCGCCTCCCGGTTCCCCGCTCTATCCCCATCTCTAACGGTAACCTGCTCGCTCTCCGGACCAGACCACAAAGATGGACGCCGCCATTGCTCTGTTTGCTGTCGTGTGCTTGACCGCCACCAGCCACGCCGAGCACCACCAGCCCTGTCGTAAGAAATTTTAATTCTAGCTTTTAATCGCTTCGGCTAGATTGGTTTCCTCAGACGAACTGAGACAGGTTTGAAATTCTTCTTGTTTCCAGTTGTCTGACTGACTCTTATCTTCCAGATTCCCCCAACATGACCGGACTAATGTCTGTGGTGAGTCTCCGTCAGGCTGCCATTCATCATATATTCAGTCCAGTTTTGATGTTACTCATGCCTCTCGGTTATGTTCTGATCACTTTCTGTCTGATTCTTTGCTTTCGTCTGAAACTAGATGTCCCTCAAGGGTGACATCAAAGCGGTGGGCGCCTTCACTTACGATTCCACGGCCAAAAAGCTGCGGTTCAGATCAAACGACAGCCACCCCACCAACACCTCCCTCGGCCTGGACCTGCTGATGTTCTTTGAGGAGGTACAGTAGGTTCATTGAAAAAAAACAAAAGAAAAAGTAAACGGGGACGTTCTGCTGTGACGTGCACGTTCTGTACGTCCTCCAGGGGATTTTCTACGAGATCGACAGCAAAAACCAGAGCTGCGAGAAGAAGAAACTGCAGATGACCCTGCACCCACTGGACATCCCCGACGACGCCAAATTCCACTCTACGATGACCACTGGCAGTGCGTCTATTGAAGGGGAGGGGTTAAAGGTCAACTGCTGGACAGGACCAATGCCACCAGTCAAAGGTAGACGGGATATTTTAAAACACATTCTTTCTTTTAAAACATTCAAAATCATTGCAACTTAGCTCCCCTTGTCTCTTTTTAGGCCATTATTCTATGTCTGTAACCATGGGGTGTTTGCCTGTGACCACTTTCTACTTCACTGAGACCACAACACTCCTTTTCAGGTTGGTGTTTGCCTAAAAACGGTTCTTTCGGTTGTGCGTGCGCCACCTTTACTGCTTCCCAGTGTAACTTTTGCATCCCCTTTTCTTTTGCAGCAACACGGAGATCGAACTGGAGATCAAGGATCCCGGCCTCCTCGTGGTGCCCCCCTTCTGCCGCGGGCAGCCTCTGGAGTTCACACCTGAGGGGACAGTAAACAGCTTCCTCAATGAGTTCATGTAAATGAAACCTTGCCAGCAGAAAAAAAAAAAAATTAAACCCCTATCCAAGCATGGCTCACTTGAACTATTGAGTTTTCTCTCTTTTTAATGTGACTTCGGTTTTTTCTCTTGACACTGCACTGCATCACGCCTTTCCATCACCATCTTTCCTACCACGAAGAAATGGCTATAAGTGGATCACATTGAATACATAAAGAGAAAAGGGATGGCACGGACTATAGTTATTCAAAATTACTAAAAGCTGATTGCTTTTCAGCTCACAAAATCTGTACGACATGATTAAAAGGTAAATAAAACGTCAAGGCTGTCCGAGGTCTGGTGTGTTTCATTTCACCACTTTTATTTTTAGATTGCCCCTTTAGATGAGATTCAAATTCAAATCAGACTTAGACTTAGACAGTACTTTATAGATCGCATTTAGGTTAATTGGGTTATAACTGGCATCTACTATCATGGCATGATAAAAAAAATATATATTTTTTAACACAATTTAAATTAAAGTTCAAAATGGTATGAGGGCTCCAGGGTGACAGGCAGGCTGCAGTACCCCGCACCGTCGACAGGTGGCGCGTGTGCTGCACGCATAAAGACGAAAATACACACTGTACCTTGCTATATTAGCCACCATGGAGCTTCTTAACGCTAGCTAAAAAAAAATAAAAACTAACCCCATGACTTTTAAAGTGGGAGAAATTTTCCATTTGCACAGGAAATTAACAAAAGCCTTTTTTTTTTGGTGTGCCAAGCCCGCGACGTTTGGCTTGTTTGGTCTCTGTCCGTCTTTGAATTAAAACGAGGTAAGTTGTAAAATGGCGGATGGCTAACGTTAACGTCCAGGGAGTTTGTAACTGTAACTGACGCCGCTTTGGTTGCTAGCTGACCGGAGCAGTGTCACGAGCGGCCGTTGGCGTGGGAATTCTCCTTTTTTTTTGCGTGGCTTATAAGGAACGTTGTCAATAACGACGCCCTCTGCTTCCGGCTGGTTTTGGGAGTGCTAATCTTCTGGTCGGCGGTTATCTTAATGCTAACCGACGATGCTATTTAAGCTAGCAACCGGTCCTGATGTTTCTAATAAATCACCGTTTTCGGCATCGAAACAGTCTCTGAATTCGTCGCCTTGTGCTGATAATACTTTTGTTTAAAGATAGCTTACAAGTCCGAGCCTCAGTTTCTGGGAGCTAACGTCTCTTTTCTGTAACCGTTGGGTCGCCTCGGTGAGAGAACTGCATAAGCTGTCATAGCCAAAACGGCACGTCAGACAGACATGAGAGCTAGTAGGAGTCGCCAGCCTCCAAACATCTGTACCTGAGCTTTTCCAAAGGAAGTGGGCGACTGCGCCTGTCAGATCAGAGGCGATTAACACCACAGAGTCGTGTTGAAATTCTCGAAACAACAAAACAAACGACACAAAAATGGTAGCAGAGCCGTATTCGTGCTCTAAAAGTAACTTTCAACCAGGCGTCTCGACCCGGTTTGGGTTCCAGTTTGTGGTGTGAAATATCAGACTCGTGGAAAAGAAAACCCCCCTCAAGTTTACACTGTTTCTTAAACTAAAGTCTGGAGACACCAGCTTCCTTTCTGTGATCTGGTCTGTGGTGACATTAGGTCATCGATGTGGTGCAAATCAGACTTTTCTACTAACTCAGTTATATAAGGATGCAGAGGAAAGATTCATCATGTCTCATTTTAGTTTTTTTTTTAGACATTTTGGAAGTTAGGTAATAGTGTATTTTAGGGAAAATGACTGGTTTGCGAGATCACCACATTGTATTTGGTGACATTTTCAAGTTTGAGTCACACAAATGTCAGAGGCCACGACACTTCTCGTGTCTGTGAACCACAAAGTTTCACACTCCTTCTTAAAGGAAATGTAATATTAGCGATTCGTGATGTAAACCGTGTTTAAAGAGAAGTTTAGTTTTTAAAATAGTCATTCTGTGGGTTTCATTGGCTTTCCCGGATGCCTGTTGTAATATTTCCAGTGCCGCATCATATTCAGTCAGATGACAGCTTTTACAAACATTTTCTCCAAGCTGAATGGTTAGTTTTGATGGATAGTGATGAAGTCTTTTCCTGAAGGATGGTTTCTAATGCACGGTTCGGTCAAAGGGAGTTACAGTGAGCATTTTCTGCTGTAAGTGCAGCTTAATTCTCTTTGCAGATACGGTCTTTAAGTAAATGGAGAGGTGGTTTCTGTTAGATGAGATTGAAGTTATCAGTCAGGAGTGTGCATGCACACGCAGATAAAGCCTCTAAGCTTGGAGAGCCTCTGAGTGATGATATTTCTACTTCCAAACATGAAATGGAGCTAGCTTCATGGAATTCACTTACAGTAAAAAAAAAAAAGGCTTTGCGAGTTATTCCTAAACCATGACTTGCATTTTTATTAGGACCTTTAGAGTAAAGAGACTTTGGGGTGAGAATTATTCCAAAAAGTACACATAAGTGAAGCAATAAAGAGCTTTTCAACCAACCCACCAAGTACCTGATCTAAAATGGCCCGGTATCCTTTTTTAAATGTGGCCCTTATATTTTTATTAAGTGTAAAGTGAAGGGCAAATATGGCCACTGAAGAGGTTTACAGTCTGAGCACCAGCTGTCTACACAAATATGGGAGTGCACTCAAAGTATGCAATGGTTATTTAATTTGTGTTTCTAAAATAATAAATTTAAAAACCATCAGAGGTCAGCACTTTCGTATTCGCTTTCGTATTTACTGCTTCTTTTCTTTCCTTTTTTCCATCGCACACCTCTGGTTGAGCGAGCTCAGCAACTGGACACAGATTACTGACATCCAGTGTCATGTTTACAGATTGTTAAATCTTCTGCTTAGAAAAGCAGAAAAGAATCCGGGCTCCGACTTTGTCACATGCTGCAAAGCGTGTTTTTTAACCACTCAGCTTAACATGAAAGATTCAAGCTAATAAATAGTGCTCTCAGACTCTAGAAGGCTGAGAGGCAAAAAGGGAGTCGTGTTTTATGCTGGAGCTGTGTGTCATCATGTCAAAATAACTCAGATTTAAAGGCATCAGATGAGCTCAAACAAAGCGTCCTCTTCATAAAAACAAAGTGGATTTAATTTTAACCGATCCAAACACTGAAAAGGGGAAATGACAAAGGCCCACCACAGGCATGCTGGAAATTTTACTATCAACTTCCAGCTGTGGGCTAAATTACCACGTTGTGTAACATTGTTAAATTATGCAGCGTGAATTCTCGTGAAAGGTCTGTTTTCTGCCAAAGATCTGGAGGAGTTATGGCCACAACGCGAGCGCTCCGGCAGGAGGAACCGGGCTCAGGCCAATTTACAGCTTTCTTTTTGTGTGTTCTTTAATCCCAGCTGTCTTTGGTAAAGCTCGGTGAAATGCCAGGCCAGAAAAGATGCAGCTTTGGTCATCATACTCAGCTCTTTATCACCAACTCTGTGAAATAAAAGGTGTAAATTGACTATAGGCACTTCTTACACAGTGTAGATATAGAACCCTAGAGGTAATATGACTAATACTGTTCACATAGTGACTCAATTTCTCCCCTTTTTCATGTGAAGTTCTCATATTTTTAGAACAGAACTCAAAGTTTTGTACAGGAAGATAATGAGAAACTCCAAAATAAATCCAAATCCTTAGTTCAGTGTATATTAGTTCATAGTCTACATTATTTTTAAAGGCAGCTAAAGTGCCTCCATGCTGTTTTTTGATTTTTTTACGATGTACACAAAATATGAGATGACTGAGATTGAAAAGTAAAAGTGAAACCTTGGGAATACCCTCCTAATGAGACATATCCACTTGCTCCATCCAACATCAGCTTTTCTTCCCCCCAGAAATTCTATAAGCTCTGTTTTCTGCAGTGAAAAAGGTTGGGGGGTTGAGGAAATGACCCCCTAAAGTGATGATTTATAAAGCACGGTGTTGCTACATGCTCATTACCGCAGAGATGTGCTGCTATGCCAGAAATTTGTCACTTCCACGCTCGACATTTGCGGGACTCTGTGGGCTTTGCTGACAGTGTTCATCCAACATAATTAAGTTTGGGGGGAAGGTCGATTATGTGAAGGCAGGTTGTCTGCTGCCCCGATTAAAAACAAGGTTCTTTTGGAGGATAGAAAAGATAAATATATGAATAAAGTAGCTTTTAAAGTCATCTTAATGCTATCAATCTTAATCTTATTAAAATGAACTGACCTAAACGGCATTAAAAGACATGGAAAAGTGATGAAAATGTCCAAAAGTTGTCATTTTGTCTTTCAGTAGTTTTCAAAAAGACTATTTTTTAGAGCCTGTTAATAATGTGGCTGATAAATGACTGAACGGTCCACAGAGGCCTCGGAGTGCTGGTTAGTTTGTGCTGTAATTGTGTAAATCCTTTTCATTTCCAGGCTTGCCTGAGAAGGTTCTTTCTTGCTTGGGGACCAGAAACAGTTCAACACAAACTTCAGACGTCTCAGAAAATGGTGAAGAAATGATAGCAGCGCAGGATTTGCACGCAGACTTTCAGTTTCCTCCGTAAGTTCATCTCCGATGTTCCTGATGGGTTTCACCTATCAGTGAATCTGTGTTTTAGATTTTATACTTGTTTCAAATGTGTTTTGGGTGTTGACATGACTTCATTTGCTATTTACAGAGAGGCAGAATCCCAATTGTCATCAGATACTGACTTTGAGGATCCTGATCCTGGGAAAAATGCCAGAACGGGAAAGGGCATGGTAGGTTTCTTGATTTTTCTAGACTTTTTGTCTTTCCACTTCACCCAGTATGCAGCTGGTGGAAGTCGTTAAATCACCCAACTGGTTCCCAGTGCATCACAAGGCTAAGAGACAGCTCTGTTTAATCAGAAATTAAGTTAAAGCTGCATCACTGTTTGCATCCAGTGTCTTTAATCTGATTAAGTTCAACACTGTGACTTTTTTTTGCTCGCACTAATCGGATCAGACTTTCAGTCGAACGTGCCACTAGTGTGTCGGGCGTTGTCATAACACGATAACACTTCAATTTTCCGCCAAACATCTTTCTGAACAGGCAGCCAGGAGGGGGAAGAAGGCGCCGGGAGAAAAGGCCAAAGGGGGGGCAGCCGGCAGAGGCCCCGCTCTCGGCTGGGTGAACGGCCATCATCCAGAGAACGGGATGGAGAGCATGACCCTTTTTGAGGTGGTCAAAATGGGGAAGAGTGCCACACAGGTGGGTGCACTGCAGTCTGCTTTATTGTTCTTTTCGCCCCACTGATATACAGTAGCTGAACTGTAAACACACCTGTATCTTCAGGGGGGATTTGGTTTCATCTTTAACTCATTGACTGCCAGTTTTTTTAGCATTTTGACTGATTTTTCAAGAGCCACAGAATAGTTTGCGCTATGACTATGTAAACATCGAACACACCAAAAGAAAGAGTAGATTCTCATCTTTAATCAGTCAAAAAAATTGGTTTCTACCTTATTCCGTTCTTCCTCGACTTGCGTCTCACCGGCGACATGTTCTCTCATAGCGAACCGTTACCTTTTTCTTATTTGCCTACAGTTTATGCTCATCTCCCATCAAAAGTGGCACTGCCACCTAGAGGGTCAATTTGTTACTACATACTCTGTCTAGAAGCCGATATTTACGGACAAGCTTTAGCAGATCGTCCCCCAGCAACTCTCGTTGAAAAACATAAAAGACGTCTATAGACGTCTTTGGCAGCCAATGAGTTAATGGCACAAGTCTTTCAGCATAGCTACTTTGAGGTTGGCTTTCCGTTTCTTTCTAAAAGGTGGTTTTTGTCCACAGTCTGTCGTGGATGACTGGATCGAGGCCTACAAACAGGACAGGGACGTCGCTCTTTTGGAGTTAATCAACTTCTTCATCCAGTGCTCCGGCTGCAAAGGTACAACGGGACACGCCTGACAGCCAATCGGCACGCAGAGCTTTAGCTGACATCGTTTTGACTGTTCTTTAGGGGCCGTGAGCGGAGAGATGTTCAGACATCTGCAGAACTCCGAAATCATCCGGAAAATGACGGAGGAGTTTGACGAGGTGACGCATGCCGAGTTTCGTTATTGATCTAGCTCAGGGGTGCTCACGCTTTTTCAGCATGGGAGCTACTTTTGAAATGACCAAGTCAAAATGATCTACCCATTATATTTATTGAGAAATATATTGAGGATTCTTACAACTTATGTTGATGTATAACCACACATTGCGACGGTAGACTGGCAGACGAGACAAACGCACTTTGAAAATGTCATTGTGAAAAAAAAGTCCTCCCATTCCGTATGAAAGTGATACGTGTTTTTCTTCTTACTTGGTCCAGCTCCCCCACTCATTTTCATAACTTATCTTACGTTTAAGAGGAAAAAAACGAGCGAAAAATTAGGATGTAACTAACGGCTAGCTTGTTAGCTTTGCTGTTGTTTGAGCACGCACAGTGACCTAATTGTACGGAAAAAAATCAGATGTCATCTGACTGGTTGTCCTGTGTATCAATCAAGTGATGGGATGGCTGATAGGCGGACGTCTAGTTTTTATTCAAAACAACTCAACTTTATTTGTATAGCGTCAGTTCATGTATTGAGCAACCCTGATCTAGCTCAAACTCAAGTCTGTGTGATGCGTTTAGCAAATGTAACATTTGGACATCAATCTATCTGTGTGTCTGGCATCATCAAACAGGACAGCGGCGACTATCCGTTAACACTCTCAGGACCACAGTGGAAGAAATTCCGGATAAACTTCTGCGACTTCATCGCAGTCCTTGTGCGACAGTGTCAGTACAGCATCATTTACGACGAGTACATGATGGACACCGTCATCTCCCTGCTCACCGGCCTGTCTGACTCACAGGTCAGGGCATTCAGACACACAAGCACACTGGCAGGTCAGTTTGAGAACCTGTGCATGCTTCTCTTGCCATTCTCTGAAGGGAGTCGCTCCCTCAAACACGCGTTTAAACGTTTACTGTCTCCGCCAGCCATGAAGTTGATGACAGCTTTGGTGAATGTCGCTCTGAACCTCAGCATCAACATGGACAACACACAGAGGCAGTATGAGGCAGAGAGGAACAAAGTCATAGCAAAAAGAGCTAACGATAGGTTGGAGCTTTTGTTACAGAAACGGAAAGAGGTGGGAAAAAAGTCTCGACTCCCTATCTGTGTATATGACAATGTTTTACTGTGTTAAAAATGTGCCTGCCATTATACACCATATGAAGCTTGTTTTACAAATGAGGAGACATTGCACTATAAGAGGAGCTCCATGAGTTCTTCCACCTATTCTCAAATCCTCACATAAAGAATTGAAATGCAATGTAGTTGGTTTGAACAAAAAAAAAAAAATCCTCAGAGGAAATTCTCTGAAGTTTCTACAAACATATAACATCAGTCACTGATACTTTCCCTTGAATGACCCTCATGTATGCCATCGACTGCATTGCATAACTACTGAGCTGGTTTCGTGGATTTTTGTTGACAAATTTCCAAGAAGTTTAGGGAAACAAGACATTTCACTTTAAACCACCGAGTGAATACCACAGATACAATGTAGTGTTGTAAATTCCGTCAAATGTATTCTGTACTTTATGGCATTATTTTGGAGGGAAGCTATGGCATGTGTTGTTTTTTAAAGGCATTTTGAAGTTGGATTTTTTTACAGAGGAAGTGAGAAAAGAGTTTTCTTTTTGGAATTCTACAGAAAATACTTTTTTTTTAGAACATTTGTCTTTATCTTTTAGCTTCAAGAAAATCAAGATGAAATTGAAAACATGATGAATGCAATTTTCAAGGGAGTGTTTGTTCACAGATACCGGTAAGTACATTCCTCAACTGACTCACACTGCAAGTTGAGAATTTAACAATGAGTCTCCAGTTTCACTTCAGTCTCAGAATGAGAAGCAGAATCTGATTGTTGCTTTTGTGGTATTTTGGCACCCTCTAGTGTTCAATGATGGCCAGCTGCACGAGGAGGCTTTGATTTGATTTTCCGCCTATAACGAACCTAAGGACTGAACTATTGTGCCTTTTTTAGAGATGCCATTGCTGAAATCCGAGCGATTTGCATTGAGGAGATCGGAGTGTGGATGAAGCTGTACAGCGATGCCTTCCTCAACGACAGCTACTTGAAGTACGTGGGCTGGACGATGCACGACAAGGTGAGTTAACGAGGAAAACGAGGCAATGTGGATAAACAAACAAGTTAACAATGACTGAAAACTAAGAGGAGAAATTTTTAGAAATGCTAGTGAATTTTTTTTTTTCAAATCGAATAGAGAATCCTTTGAAAGAAAATGTAAATGTCTGGTTTATCTGGTGGGGTTCATTAGAAATAGCCTGTTTTGACAGCATGGGAATGAAGTGCGATTAGTCTGTTGTTGTGAAAAAATGGTATTGATGTTGTATGTATAAATGATCAATAGAACCAAAGTCAGTGTACACTTAGAGTCAACACTTACTCTGTAGTTAGACCCCCCCCAAAGAAAATCCCTACGTAGTCATCTTCACTTCCTGTGTTGGCAAAACAAAGCATTGACGGCGTTTCCTCCAACAGTTATGGAAACTAAAAAAGTTCCAGTACCTTTTTTTTCTATATCCCCTCCGGACCCTTAGCTGTACAGTGCTTGTCAGCCCTTTAGAGATGACAGACCTGTCCAATATTTGACATTTAGCCTCACTCCAGAGCTCCTGCTACTGTTTGCATAAGTGAGTGGTTTGGCTCTGTTTCCACTTTAGCTAAATAGCTGTTTTTTGGCTTTTTTACCCTCATATTTGCCCTGTTGATGCTGGATAGTGCCCTATTTTCTTTGCACTATACCCACTCCGGTTTGGTGAAAGACTTCTCGCAAAAGTTTTGGCAACTTCAGCTTTTTTTAGTGGGGTAACCTCCTCACAAATATTTCAATCAACAGCTCACAAATATACATCCCTGTTACCTGATGTTATAAAACCAGGGCCAAAATACCGTCTTACATTCATGTGTATCGTGTTAATAGAAGCAAATGATTCAAAACATTTCTCTTATGGTTATGGTTCACACATGTATTCATTTAATTCCAGCAAGGAGAGGTGCGGCTGAAGTGCCTAACCGCCCTCCAGGGCTTGTTCTACAGCAGAGACCTCAGCTCCCGCCTGGAGCTTTTCACCAGTCGCTTCAAGGTGTGTCAGCGTCTTTGGTTTGTTTGCGGATAAAACACAAAAAGCAGTAAATGGCTTCATGTATCAACCATAAATCGATATGTTTATCACAAACATTTAATCTAATTTCCAACAGGATCGAATCGTGTCAATGACTCTGGACAAAGAATATGACGTCGCAGTGCAAGCTATTAAACTCCTGACTCTCGTTTTACAGTAAGTAACTCTACCTCCTCTCAGAATGAAAATTAATCTTCATGCATGCTAATCTCAGTTTCAGATTTACCTTTATTGTTGGACATGAAAAATTTTGGGCAAGATCTACAAATCCAATTCTAAAAAGGAGGTTCCTAAAAAACAGGAGAATGTGTTTTTTTTTAAAGCAGAGTTGATACTTCATAATTTCATAACAAAATATTTTGTTCAGAATCAAACAAAAGACTTAAAAAGCTAAATTGATACATATAAACTTGCAAAATGGCTCATTTTGATTTAGAGGGAGTGATACAACTCACACAATACAGAACAAGGTGCAGGCTGAGAAACTCTCTATATTTCATGCTATTTTTTAAACTACATAATCATCCTGCAAAGCAGATTCAGAAGATTAAATGAAATTCACATAAGTTTAATTCCACTTATTCAGTTTTTATTTACATCGTGCACCACGAACCAACCTCTGTGGGTTTGTGGCTAAGTTTGATCTTTAGTCTTTCCCATTTGGTGCTAAAGCCCCAGAAAATGTTGCATTCAAAGTTGCATTGCACTGACTTTCCTCACAGTGAATATTTATATTTTATCTGACAGGAGTAGCGATGAGGTTCTGACCGCAGAGGACTGTGAGAGCGTGTATCACCTGGTTTACTCGGCCCATCGACCTATTGCTGTCTCTGCTGGGGAATTTCTTTTTAAGAAGTGAGTACTGCTTTGTCTAGCCAGGGATGAAACTTCCACAAAACCTAAGCACTGTATCGATCACTTTGAGGTGTAAGGAGGCCTTTTCTTTCACCTGAGCTGAGTTGAGTTACTCACAGAGGGATATTCTGTCCTTTTGCCACTTTCTTAAAGTCAATCTGTCCTCTGGAAGGGTAACTCTCAGGGGCTTTCAGTTAAAGATGGCAGCCATAGTTATTATCAGAGCAGTCTTACTGAACTATGACTATTTGGTTCTCTTACAAACAAATATGCTAATATCCTGTTCAATTTAGCTGTGAAATACATTTATACGAGAAAATAAACTTTTGAAATGACTCAACCTGCTCTTTTCCCCTCCACGAATACATAAAATATTCATTCCATCTTTTAGTATGACATTTTTGTGTTAATCGAAGGCTCTTCAGCCATCGAGGTCCTGAGGAGGAGGGACTACCCCGGAGGGGCAGGCAGAGCCTCAACGGCAGCCTTATAAAGACCACCGTCTTCTTCTTTTTGGAGAGTGAGGTGAACAGGCACTTCCTGTGCTCATTTGAACAGAAATACCCATTTAAATTGACTTAATATTTTATTCAACACTAAAGTCATATATTTAGGCTTATTATAGTTTCTCTGTATTTATTTAATGACTCTGAAACGCATCGTTTCCAGCTGCATGAACATGGCGCCTACTTGGTGGACAGCTTGTGGGAGTGTGCGTCGGAGCTGCTGAAGGACTGGGAGAGCATGATCAGCCTGCTGCTGGATGAGCCCACGCCCGGAGACGAAGGTTAGCTCCTAAACTACCTCCTGTTTAAAGCAAGCTGTCATGTTATGTCTTAACCCTATAATGCCAAATGTGTAATATTTGATACATACGGTTTCTGAAGTCTTTTGGATCTGAGACTTTTTGCATCATTCAGTGGTAAAAGCTTTGCTCAAACCCCTGTTGTACACATTCAGATATACCTGATAACAGCCAGTAGAAGACTACACCAATATATATTTTTGACTTATTGCAAGCTAATTTGATCAAAATAATTTCTGTTTTATTTGTATTCATATGTTGTTCAGGGGCCAAAGAAAGACTTTAAAAAAAAAATCCAATATTCTTCCTATTTTTCTTGGATCTGGCTTTAAAGGGGTTAATGTACAGTGTTCGTAGTGTTTGTCTATTTATAGTTATATCAGGAACACACTGTAATTGCTTTGTTTCTGTTTTTTTAGCTCTGAATGATCCACAGGAGACGGCTCTGGTGGAGATTATGCTCTGTGCCATTCGGCAGGCATGTGAATGTCACCCTCCGGTCGGAAGAGGCTCGGGGAAGAGGGTGAGCTCAGACTGCCATGTTTGAGGGGGGGAGGGTAAACTTCTTTTTAAAAGAATTTCTGTGTTGTTAATGTAGTTGTTTTTTTTGTGTTTGTTTTTTTTAATGGATGGATTAGGTCCTGACTGCAAAAGAAAAGAAAACACAACTGGATGACCGAACACGCATCACAGAGATGTTTGCTGTCGCGTTGCCTCTGTTATTAGCAAAGGTTACAAATGGTGTTGTGCACTTTTTTTTAATCAAAAGTTTGAATTATAACTTTGGACTAAGCCTCCTTCTTTCTTTTTTCGCCCTCATTTTCTTTTAGTACTGCGTCGATATTGATAAGGTGACAAATCTGCTACAAATACCAAAATACTTTGATCTTGACATCTACACAACTGGCCGGTTAGAAAAGGTTTGTCAGCTTGTACTTATTTAAACTTTTCAGAATATTCCTTTAAACGCAGTTCCAGTGAATTAACGACTTATATCCCTGCATCCAGCATTTGGATGCCCTTCTGCGACAGATCTGGGAGGTTGTGGACAAACACACGGACATTGAAGTCCTGGAGGCCTGCTCCACCACCTACCACTACCTCAGCAACGAGGAGTTCACCATCTTCAACCGTGTGGACATCGCCCGCTCGCAGCTTCTAGATGAGATGGTCGACAAGTTCAACAGACTACTGGAAGACTTTTTGCAAGAGGTGGGTCACTTTGTTTGGATTCCATCAGAGCATGTTTAGAGGTGCCAAGTCAAAGGTGACTATTCAGATTATCACAGGTTTGGTCATTTCATTTAATTTATTTTGAAACATGATATGATTTAACAATGTTTACATTGAATGCTTCATAAACATGCATCATGTTTCAAAAAGGAGTAGGGTGAAGCATAACCTTATTAAGCCCTACCCCTCTGTTACATGTGTCATGGTGGTAAAGGACAATCATTTACAGTAAGACAAACAGTATACCAACTTTTTATAAATTACTCTTTTTTGTATTCATCAAAAATACTTTTCTTATATTCTTTTTTGAATTGCTGGATGCTTTTAGATTGTTTAATGTTTTCAGGCAAGCTGAAAGGTCTCTTGTTTTTCAGGGTGAAGAACCAGATGAAGATGACGCCTACCAGGTTCTGTCGACCCTGAAGAAGATCAGCGCATTCCACAAGTAATGCAGCCCAATCAACTTTTTACATTTAGAGACACATGTTTGGTGCTCTCTCTCTTACATGCGAATGTTCATGCTACAGGTTTTGGAGCTTTCATTCAGATTAGGATGTCAGGAATACCATTACGATGGTACGAATAATATATATGTTGTTTGTCCATCTTTCTGCTGTCAGTGCACACGATCTCTCTAAGTGGGATCTCTTTACCAGCAACTACAGGCTACTCAGCACCGGCCTTCAAAACGGGGACATGCCTGAACAGGTATGAAAGAAATGTTATTATCACCGTTATTATTATGTATTCAGTTTGTCAGCAGCCTCCCTGATTTTAATAAATAAGCATGGAGCTGGAGGGAAAGAGATGAAAACTAAAGAATGGAGAAAAGACAATCTGATCCTCTTACTGGTGGAGGATATTAGACGAGCCCGTATTAGGACACTGACTTTATGGAGCATGGTTGTGAGTTTAATCTTCTGTGATGTGTTCCCCTCAGATTGTGATTCATGCAATGCAGTGCACCCATTACATCATCCTGTGGCATCTTGCGAAGGTTTCAGATGGGAGTTCAATAAAGGTTAGGCCTTTAAAAATGCTGGAATGATAGACTAAACGAATTGTTGTTCTCTGATTCAGAAAAACAAAAAACACGCACACATGATTTATCATGCTGTTGTCAACACATCTAATAAGTTGAGTTTGAAAGTACAGCAGGGGCTTTTCTTTGTCATACTTATAAGATTCTTTTATAAAGGTATTTTTGAATGGCTATCTTCTGTTTCTAAATCAAAATACAGACCTCTGTGATCCTGGCTGTCAGCTTGTTGTTCTGAGAGTATTTAACCGTGTTGACCTTCAGTACATTAACAGAAAATGTCCTCCTTTCAGGGTGATATGGTGACCATGAGAAAGCAAATGAGAGCTTTCTGCTTAATGTGTCAGCGTTACATAAACAGCATCAACACAGCCGTCAGAGAGCAGGTGGGAAAACGACGGTTGATCGGGGGTGGTGTGGACTCTCTCTTACCCTGGCTCTTAAGAGCCTCTCTTTCCGGGCCTGTTGCTGAAATAAGATGTTATTTTCAGGCTTTCACCATACTGTGTGATCTGCTACTGATCTTCAGCCACCAGATGATGTCGTCGGGCCGGGAGCAGCTGGAGGGTCTGGTCTTTACGCCGGACAGCTCTCTGCAGGCAGAGCTGCTCACCTTCATCCTGGATCATGTTTTCATTGATCAGGATGATGACAGCAACAGCACAGGTCACAGCCCATCACCGACTCTCTGCCAACTTTTTGTATAGTCGTATATTAAAAAAGGGATATTTTTTTTCTCCAGATGGTCAACAAGATGACGAAGCCCGTAAAATTGAGGCCCTGCACAAACGAAGAAACCTCCTCGCTGCCTATTGCAAGTTAATCATTTACAATGTGGTTGAAATCAACACAGGAGCGGATATATTTAAACAGTACATGAAAGTAAGTGTCCATCAGTCCGTAATATAAAGAGTTCCTTCGTGCCTTCTCTTTTTTAAAATGTGTACTTTCTTCCCAGTACTACAACGACTATGGAGATATCATCAAGGAAACCATGAGTAAATCGAGACAAATCGACAAAATTCAATGTGCAAAGACACTCATACTAAGTCTGCAAAAGGTAAAAACTTATTTTCTAGTGACACACCTCAACCCCTTCTCACAGCTTTTTGTGCATTTGACTTTTTCTTAACTCAAGTTATGTGCAAAGACTGCAAACAAGAGGCAGAGAAACTGCATATGTACCATTTTATATTAGAATAAATCACCTGGATTCACAAAGTGATCACAAGCAAAATTGATCCAACAGGGGGAAAAAAAGGGAAAATATCCGCAAGATTTCGATTGAGCTGTAATGTGTGTGTATTTTGGTGCCTGTTATTCACATTTAAAGAACACATCTGAGACATCTAAGCATGTTAAACAGCCAGCAAGTAAAAGACGCTGTTGTCTCTTGCAGTTATTCAACGAGATGTTGTCTGAACTTGGTTTCAATTTCGACCGCTCGTCTTCAGCCTTCTGTGGCATTAAAGAACTGGCCCGCCGCTTCTCCTTGACTTTTGGTTTGGATCAGCTGAAGACCAGAGAGGCTATCGCCATGTTACATAAGTAAGTCATAGTCCAGAGCAATGACTTTGTTCTTTATTTTTGCAGTAGTTCAGCTTTTTTTTTGTGTGTATTTGACATAGGGATGGAATTGAGTTTGCTTTTAAAGAGCCTAGTCCTCAAGGAGAAGGAGGCCCACCTCTTAACGTCGCCTTTTTGGACATCCTGAGCGAGTTCTCCAGCAAATTGATCCGACAGGACAAGAGGACGGTGTACGTTTGAAAGTCCTTTCCTCATGTCAGCTTTGTCTTTCCGATAAAAGTCCAAACGCGTTCTTAACATCAACTGTCACTCTGACTTTCACAGCCACGTGTACTTGGAGCGATTCATGACCTTCCAGATGGCGCTGCAGCGGGAGGACTGCTGGCTGCCCCTCATCTCCTACAGGAACTCGCTGCAGGCCGGAGGGGACGACGACACCATGTCTGTCATCAGCGGGATCAGCAGCCGAGGGTCCACCAAGAGTAGGAAGTCCAAACCGGCCTCCGCTAGCAAAAGAAAACTACCGGAAGGTGAGCAGTTAGCTTCTTCACAGTCACAGACACAAAAGAACCAAGGCACATTTTGACCTGAAGGACTTGTGCTTAATTGCTTCGGGGCTTTATTTAAGGAGCTTAAACATTGTTTTGCCCTGGGCCGAATTACTTGAGGGAAGTTTGAAAGGTTTCTCCAAGCTGCTGCGTCACATGCAGAAAAAAGGTGCACAGGGCAGCCTCTGCATAGACTCATAGTCTTATGAAGGCACATTTTCATCGGCTGTTCGTGTTTTTTACATGTTACAAATGACTGCTCCTTCTTACTAACTGTACTAACTAACTGAGTCATGGCAGAGGTTAAATATGGGACTAATGAGAATGAAAGGCAGAAATAAAGGAATTTGCAAGCTGCAACCAACAGCTTATGGTAAAAACTTTCCCCTGGAACTTTTTTGCCCCTGTTTTTGAAACAGAGGAGGTCTGAAAAGACCTTTCTCCCCGAAAAGGTTCAGATTTGGTACTATGAGGATCCTTTTTGGCCACATTCATTCTTGATTTCACAAGAAAGAGAGACACGCATTCCTTTATCTTGCATCAGGTTCTTTTGGGTTTCATGCAGTTTAACAGATGTTTAAAATGTTCACGTGATTTCAGCCCCTGCCTTCTCTATGAGCGTGTTTTCCTGGTTCCCTGCAGAGGAGAACAGCTGCAGCAGCAGCGACACGGTCTGGATGAACCGCGAGCAGAGCGTTCCAACGCCCGTCCTGATGCATTCGCCCCAGCTCCCCTCCTCCACCGTGCTGAGGGACCCGAAGAAGATGAGGCCAGAGGAGAGCTACGCCGCCTCTTTCTCCATGCCTGCAGAGCAGCACCCCCACCAGCCTCTGCCCCCCCATCAGCCGCCACACCATCAGCACCAAACCGCCATCGACTACAAGTACAGAAACCTTTATAGTTTTATATAGGAGTTAATACGAAATTTCTACAGAGTGTATACGAATGGCTATAGATTCAGTGTTTCCCAATCCTGGTCCCCTGCCTTCAGAATCAGAATCAGAATCAGAAATACTTTAATAATCCCAGAGGGAAATTATTTTTGTTACAGGCTCCATAAGCAAAACAAAGGCATATACATATATACATATCTATACATATATACATATGCATGTTTTCCAAGTTTCCCTGCTCCAGCACACCTGATTCTAATAAATGGAACGACTTTTCAGCTATCCAGAAAGCTGCTAAAGTCCCGTTCATTAGAATCAGGTGTGGTGGAGCAGGGAAACTTGGAAAACATGCAGGGCAGGGTGCCTTGAGGACCAGGATTGGGGAAACACTGCTATAGATGTTGCTTTTCTTTCTGACATCGTCTACTACAGGGGAGTCAAACTCCAGTCCTCGAGGGCCGCTGTCCTGCAGGTTTTTAGAGGTAACCCTTTTTCAACACGCCTGATTCACATCAAAAGGCCATTAGACAGGTGCAAAGCTCAACAATGTCCAGAGGAGATCCAATTTTAATAAGAATCAGGTGTAAAGAAGCAGGAAAATGTCTAAAACCTGCATGACAGCGGCCCTCGAGGACTGGATTCTGACACCCCTGGTCTACTACAGTGGGGGAAATAAGTATTTGACCCCTTGCTGATTTTGCAGGTTTTGCCCACTTACAAAGAATGCAACGATCTATAACTTTAATCATATGTACATTTTAACAGTGAAAGACAGAATCCCAAAGAAAATTCCAGAAAATCACATCATATGAATTTATAAAAATTGCTAACCATCTGATGAGGAAAAATAAGCATTCTTTGTAAGTGGGCAAACCTGCAAAATCAGCAAGGGGTCAAATACTTATTTCCCCCACTGTACTTTAGTGGAACTGCGTGCATTATAAAGTTAGTTCCACTATCTTATATTCACAGTACCCAGGTTACTTGGATGCTAACGCAGAGGCAACAGGCGGAGGCCCGTCAGCACCAGGAGCGCGTCAGCATGCACTACGCTAAGATGAGGAGCCACATGCAGCACGCTCTGTAAGGCACAACTCTCCCCGATATTCCCCGTTTAAACCTTCGTTTAAAAGCAGAAGGCCAAATAAGCTGCTTCTTTCTGCGTCACGCAGTCGCCGAGGCTCCGGATTAATGGAGGACGACGAGGAGCCGATTGTGGAGGATGTGATGATGTCATCGGAGGACCGGTTGGAAGACATCAATGAGGGAATGGATTTCGACACAATGGACATCGATTTGGTACTTAATTAAATATCGATCTGTGGTTCTGTGAAAGAACGCAGCTGGTTACTCGTGGAAATATTCACAAATGTCCTAAGCTCTACAATCACATTTTTATGACAAATAAAGTTGAACTGTGTAGCTCATTAATGAGTTGATAATAACAAGTTATGTGTATTTCATCCCTGAGATATGATTTATGGCATTTTATGGACACCGTAGATTTGGTATATTTTGAGCCAAATGCACTTTTTTCAGAAGACAAAACTGTAATTGCTGTTTTGTAGCATATTTCCAATCATCTTTCTCATGCATTTTTATAAATTATCCGTATTCTTTTCAGCCGGCATCTAAGAACCGAAGAGAAAGGACCGAACTAAAGCCAGACTACTTTGATCCGTCCTCCATTATGGACGATTCGGTGAGAGTAATCCACTTCTTTTATTACCTTTTATCTTGTGAGCTTCTTTAGATATGTTTTTTCTTTTGATTTAACATATTTTGCCTGCATAGTGTTATACAGATATGACTGACAGGTCTTACTTAGTTATTACTCTATAATGACTATATTAGCAGCTGGAAATGGTCATGGTTGCTCTGAATGTTTTCTTTTTTTACTTTATGAATTTAACCCATCTTTGAAATTTCTCTAGGTTCTTAATGTTTCGATGTTCTAAAGAACAAAAGATCGTCAAATTAAAATGACCGTTCTCTGTGAAAATCTGGAAGGAGAGAAATGGACTACGTCGAATGGCTTGTGAGACACCAATATTTGCCTCTTTCCCACTTTTTGTTAAAACTCAGAGGGCAAGCTCGCATTTTCTTCTGCTTTTTACACTGGACTTTTTGAAAGACTCCAAGAGAAATGACTGCCTTTGTTTTTTTTTTGCCCTAAAAGCAACTTGGTGTCAACTTCCACAGAGCTCAGATGGACTTAGATGGACTTAATGCGTGAAGCTGTTCGGGTTCTCTAAAGTAGCAGAGCAGACCCTGCACGGCAGTTTGATGGTGAAAGGATGATAACGAGCTGAAAATCATATTATTATCCTGTACCTTTAAACTTTTTCATTCAGTACGAGAAAGGTTGTCTGATGTAAATACATAGTGGCCAATAATCAGGGGTTGTGAACGCGGCTTCATTAACATTACGGGGTGGAATTGTAAAAGCCTTAGAAAATCAAGCTACTCTTACGATCCTTGTAGTGTTCAGCTGTTTAAAACTTTAATAACACTGCACTTTGTGACAGAGGTGGTAAATCAATTCAGTTGTAATTTTACAGCCATATTTTAAATATTTATAGACTGAAATCGACGCCTTTCTGATGCAATCTAAACGTAAACTGAACTAAGTGAGGTTTCATAAGGGGGGCGGGTATTACGCGGCTTACAGATCCAGGTGTAACGGGGCCAGTGGCGTTGCGTTCATTTGCTGTACTGGTAAACTGTAGATTTTGGCATGGCATGTCGCCATTTATCAAAATATGTACACAGTAAATATAATGTGAACTGGCGTGTCATACTGTTCAAAGGCCTTGCCACAAATGGTATATAGCATTCTCAGATTCCTTTGTTATGGTATTTTTTAGAAATATGTGTTCTGCTTTTATACCTTATAGATAACTTTGATTTATAGATATTTTGTAACGACAATCAAATGTAAATGAATGGTTTCTAATCATGTTATTTCACATAGAGGCAGAAATAATCCTTTTTAATGGAATGGCGTTACTGTTTCTATATTTTCTTTCTTCTCTCTGTGATGAATGGGTGCAAAGGTGAAACATGACAAATTAATGGCTGCATCAGAAAAGATATTTTTAATATTGGTAGCATTCACAATGCCATACATGAAATCTTTACCCAACGTGTAATCTCAGATATATCTTGACTTTTTCTTTTCACTATATAGTAACTAATATCTAATAATGCAGACATGCCAGGATTGCTTTTCTGACGGGTAAGAATTTGAAGAATGGTTAATGATATTCTATTTCCGTATATGCTCCCTGTTTGCATATGTGCAGAGGTTTTATTGTTTGATTTTTTTATTTGGTTTGCCACTGTTACATATATAAGATATAGAAATATGCTAAATTACAAAGTTTGAGAGTTCTTTAGGAAACTATGGTAAAATTGCATATTCTACGAATGAAAAGTGTAATATATTGTGAATCGGTGCTTATTTTATATTTGCAGTTTCTTTATGTGTGATATTTTAGGTAATGATTAAAGAAAACGAATGTTACTCTTTGACATTAACTCACTAATTTCAAAGTACTCTTCCACTGTTTGGATTGTTTTTCAGTGGATTGCTGTGATATTATTTTTCCCCTCTGTGTCCCGGCCTGGCTGGCAGAAAAGACTTTATAGAAGATGGTATATTGTAGCTAGAAAGAAATCCTTTATTTCTTCAGAATGTTACTATAAACTGGAGAAGCAGATCATGTGGTCTTTAACATTACCACGCTCATAATAAGTATTCATGTTAGGCAAATGAGAATATTACATCATAGAAATGCCTGTAAATGTACATGAATAATTTTCATTATGGATCGTTTCTGTTTTGCATTGAACTGCTGAAAATGTGCATACGTCTGTACGTTTATACATATTTAAATACTTGCCTATATTAAATTTGTGTTTATGTTCTATTTACAAATTGTCCATAGCATCCTTTAATATTTGTATTTATGTCTGGAGATGTAACAGAAGTCAAATAAATCCTTTGAAAATGTGTGATGATCTCAATGGCATGGCTGGAAATCCCAATTCTGAAATCCTCTGTGTAAATTTGACGATTAGTATCATGTAGAATATAATTTTAGTCGTAAATTTGACAATTCTATCAGCAGGATTGACATTTATTTACAATTACTTGTCCATAAAAACATATGAGTGAAACTAATCCAATATTTGGAACAAAGAGTAACTCCACAGTCATGGACTAACTGAAGCAGCATGTATGAATCAAAGTACAACGAGGACTATTCAAATTTACTTCAAATTTAAAAAATCAACGTACAGAGTTACTGGTTGGACCGATCTATGTAATTAATGTTTAGCATCGTTTATGAAACAGAGTTCGGCGTACACAGCTCCCAATCCCACCATGCAACAGTGAGCTAGCGGCGGCAGCTAGCCACCACATTTGACCCTCCGTGTGCCATGATGAACTAGACATCCGGGCTGCGTGAATGGAAGATGGCGACACTTATCCTCCCTTGCGAATGGATCAAAAACTGGGAAAAATCAGGAAAACACGAGTTGTGAGTAGCTCGGAACGCCGACACATTTGCGGACGTCGTGCCGCTGCATTGTTGGCATTTGTCCACGAAAATGATCGAAATTACGCAGCTAGCACTGTGAACCCCAAAGGCCAGTCTTTCGGGTGTTTTAGCTATTGCTAACGGAGTCATTTTAGCAAAACAGTTCAAATGGCTTGCAAGCTGTCTCACGTCAATGTTGAAAAGGCTTTGCAAGCCGTAAGAGCACCAATTGATGTGGATTATACTCAACAGTTTGCACAAAATTGCCTACACGTAACAACAGCCTGCTAACTAACGTAGCCTGCATGCTAACAATCAAGCTAGCTTAGGCTCAGTGTCGTCGATTTGTAAACACGATGGCCACCGGAGCTAAGCTAGCTGTAGCTAACGATGTTGATACGTTGGTGTCGCGCGAGCTAACCGTTTTAACTTTGGAAAAAATATTGTGCATATCTTCTGATATTCTGACAATGTGAACTCCCCACATCCAGTCGAAAAGAAACAGGTTAAATAACTTTCAAAGCTATTTATGCCGTCAAACATAAATAGCTCGTCGTCCAGGGAAACACCAGATCTTGACATAACGTTTTTAGTAAGTTAGCGGTAACGTTAGCCGCAGTTTTTTTTGTTCTGGTGTCAAGCAACTCGTTAAATATTTTATGATATCGACCTGGAAACGGAGTAATTACAAGTTATAGTGATTGTAAACAATAAATGTGCCGTCTAACTGAGTACAAAGCGGGATTAAGAAGCTGTAGGCTGCTGTGCCCGGTGAACTGACTTTGATATCCGCTAGCTATTCGAGTTATTTTAGCTAATTACCTGACAGTTTAACGCCAACCTTACGAGGCAGCCATTGCGTATAAATACATTCACATTGGGCTCCTGCACAGTACGAGCTTCTGTTGGTGTTTTTAGGCCTTGCATATTTTAGAAAGGCCTAAAGTGAGGTCTACCAGCTTACTGTCTTAGTCTTTAGACTGTTGCCTGATGGCTCACTAACAGAAAATGATGCAAAACATGGCTAAGGAGAGACACAATAACATTCAAATGTTTTAAGATCTGTCTCATGTCAGGGAGCTCAGTGGGATGCATTGCAATAAAAGTGTCATCTAAGTGACAGGCAGCACATACAAAGCCATATTTTATTTATTATGCGTGAAATTAAATGGGAAATCCTGTCTTTGTACCATTTTTTTTAGGCCGGGTGAGCAGAGATAGCTTGGGGTGGAGTTGTGGGGTTTAACCTTCGTGCAACAACTGATTCAAATGTTTGGTTGCTCTTAAAATATTTTACCTAAAGAGTCCTATTGAACCAAGGTTTAAGTATCCCAAGAGGTTGGTCGATGGGAGAATTGAAGTTTGGCTTGTCAGTCCACTTTGGTGCCACATAAATACCACGTTTTTTTGTTGTCGTTGTTGTTTTTTAATCTTTAAACACATCATATAGCAGGGTGTAAGACGCCTGGTGTAAACCTTTCCTCTGCTTTTCCTGCTTCTTAGTGTACAGCTCTGCAAGGACCTCACAGAAAAAGACGATCATGGAAGGGAAATTAGAGGTAAGTTGAGAATTAATCCACTGTCACTAAAGTAACGATAATGATTAGTAATGATTTTGTATGAGTTTGGAAGAAATTGTCAGAATTTGCTATTTATTGGAACTTTGTTTTTTTAACTTGGCTATAATACATTGTGGTACATTTCCCAGAAGCATTTCCAAATGGCACTAAAGCAGTAATGATGTAGTTATTACACGCATAATAAAATACTCTTATTCTAGCTTTAAGTCCAACCTGTCAAAGTTCTGGTTTTAAGATTCTTATGTTTTGGTGAATATTCTGAAAGATCTCTTTTTTCTTTAAAATCCATATCCCGCAGTGGTACAAGAACTCCGCTGAAATAATTATTATTTTCTACCAGAATTAAGTAGTGCAGTTCTTTCTTTATGGGTAACTTTTATGGCTTTTTTTCCTTTTTTTATAAATCTATGCAGCATCATTGGGGTATGATTTACACGTTTATCTTTTCATTGTCAAAGGAGGCCTGTTTTTATTTCTAACTCTGTTTTTTAGCCACCACTACTTTGAAAGTACTCAGCTATTCTTGGATGTCTACCTCTTTATCTTTTGTCTTTAATTTCTGGGGAAATTCTCAAGAGGCTTTTGTTTTTGCTCTCAGGGTTTACTTCCACGGCCTGTTCCCAGATTCTGAGCTGAACTGGGGGGAGAAGCATTTAGATACTTAGACTCGGTTTCAGATTTCTATGAATTTAAATTGGCTGATCTCAATAAATAAATCTGATCAACTTTCTAATTGTCGACAGTACGGTTATTACTGCGATTATTATTTCTATATATCAATTTATATATTTCAGGGATCATCTGTGTGGGTTCTTTCTTCCTCCTAGATAATATAATCACAACACCAGTTGAATACTAGTCACAGGCCTTTTTTGTGTTTATTTTGGCATGTATTTTGCACTCTGTGCCTCCGTTAGAGCAGGTGTGGGTGTTTTTTCCCAGTTTTTTGTGAGTCTTTGTTTGAAGTGTGCTGTTGTGTGTGTTTGTACCCCAGCAGACATGCAGACCGCCCTCTATGAGCTCTGCTGCCACGTCGTCCAAGGAAACCTGAAGATGGACCTTGTCGCTAATGTCCTCGGGGAGATGATGGTATAAATAGTTGTTATTTTTATTCTTATTATTGTTACTTGAGGTGAGACCACGTGAAAGAAGCTCCAGCGCTGGAACCGAAGCAGCTATCAGTTCAGCATAATTTGTTCAGGCTATAAATGATGGTTTCAGAGGCTAAATGTCATCAAAAGCAAATTACTGGAGATCACAGCCACTGTTATCTGTCCTCTGTAATTAAGTTTGCGGCATTAAGTCTCATTTGCAACAATATAAAGCTGTTCGTGGGGAAATGGTTTTGGTAATATATCTATTTTTTGCATTCAATGTTCAAGCTAACAGACCAAAAGATTTTGGCCACCCTAAATATTCATATTTGTTTGTTTCTCTTTCAGGAATTCAGAGACGACATGCCATCGATTTTAGCAGATGTATTCAGTATTCTAGGTACATTTAAGTTTGTTTATATGTTTTTGTTGTTTTTAGTAACATGACACATGTCTGATTAAACTAATTTAGCTTTATCCAAACCCGGCATGCTTACATTTATCTATTTTTTTCCTTGTTTTTCCTCCCCCAAACAGATATTGAGACTGGTGCACTGGAAGAAAAAAACAAACGGGACCATTACACTCACCTGGTGGGAGCCTGTTTGGTAAGATCATTTCCTGAAGCTCTCATTGTTTAGACATTTCTTCATAGATTTGTAAAACAAAAGTTTAAATGTCCTGGAGACACAGCTTTGTGATTCCGCTGATGCCTTTTGGGACGTCAGGTCTCTGCCATAGGTCACACAAACCTCCTCCCCGCTTGGAGGGATTTCTGGGTTCTGCTCTTACCCGCCAGAAAGACCACCGCTGTTTGGCCGACCTTAGAGGTTTTTTAAAGTTCACCGTCTAAGCCCACCACCGCGTAAAGTACCAGCTCTGAACGGGCCTGAAAGTAAAACAGCGGGCGACCGGATGAGGCCGCCATGAGCGTTTAACGGCGTGGACCGGTAATTAAGGACGTCCCGATCCAGCTTCTTGCACTTCCGATCCGATACCGATCCCGGCCTATCAGAACATGTATTAAAGTTTAGAGTTATTTATCTACTTACTTAGTTGTCAGACTCATGTTGAACAGGGATTTACTCTGATAACAACTTAATGGTTAGGACACAGACCTGTGGGTTACAGATGCTAATGCTAAATCTCGTGTGGGATCGGACTTTAAAAAAACTGGGTAGGGAGTCTTTATCGGCATTTTCTGCTGGCTGAGTGGGCTCCCGGTGTCCAGAGGCTGGACTTCTCCGTCCCCTGAGGCCTGCGGTTGAGTTCCAGTCTTTAACCCCCTTTGGATATCAACCCTCTGTCCTTCAGTTTAATGCACAGTTGAATAACAGCCTCTGGAGCCTCTTGGGACAAAAACGGATTTAAACACGTATACGAAGATCTCACCTTGTGAAGAGAGTTTCTGAAAATAATGTTGCATAAAATGGCATGAAATAATCAACAGAATGATACAAAAATGGTCCTCAGACAAAGGTCGCCTAAAGGATCTGGATGTCATAAACAAAGAGTTTTCATTTTTGATGCATTTTGCCCCCAAAATGAACAATTGCTGCAAAATGTACAATGTCCTCATAGTGTTTGGTTTGTGGGGAAGATTTAACCCATCGTCTGTTTGTGTCAAAGTCTTCTCATTAACACGTTCACTGCTCGCTTTTTATTTTTTTAACAGTGTTTTGTACCAGAGGCCATCCTGAAAGAGAGGCTGGATCCAGAAACCCTCGAGTCTCTCGGCCTGATCAAACAAGCCCATCAGTTTAATCAGAAGATCGTAAAAATCAAGACTAAACTATTGTAAGTAAAAACGAGCAGTTCGGTGTTTAGCCCAGCGGCTTCCGGGAGGCCTGTTCTGTTTCATGGACGTGTTGTTTCCTTTGTTTTTCCTTTCCAGTTACAAGCAGCAGAAGTTTAATTTGCTAAGGGAGGAGAACGAGGGCTATGCCAAATTAATAACCGAGCTTGGTCAAGACCTGTCGGGCAACATCACCAGCCACCTGGTCCTGGAGAACATCAAGTCCCTCATAGGTAACGCGTCTGGAACTAGAATATTTTCAAGATCTCTTATTCGTCTTACTATTTTTATTTACATTTTGTTTACGTTTCATTTTCTTTTTGGAAATAAAGTGTTTACATCTCAGTGTTTCTTTGTTCCTGCATCTATAGGCTGCTTCAACCTGGACCCTAATCGAGTTTTGGACATCATTTTGGAGGTGTATGAGAGTCGGTCTGATCAAGATGAGTTCTTCCTGTCCCTCATCAAGTCCTACATGTGTGAACCCCTCACTCTTTGTCACATATTGGGTTTTAAATTTAAGTTTTATCAGGTGAGAAAAACTATCGAATCATACATGAATGGTTTCCTTTTTCCTATTTGATTCTGCTTTTGTAATGTTTTCCTTGATAAAATGCCCAGTTTTTACGTTTGTTACCTCGTAAAATGTGTTTTTTCTTTGATCGTTTATTGATTTATTGACTGGTGTGTTGGTTTAGGAGCCCAATGAAGAAACCCCAAAGTCCCTTTACCACATTGCTGCCGCTCTGCTTCACCACAACCTGATTGAGCTGGAGGATCTCTACGTACATGTAAGAAGGGGGGGGGGCTTGTCGTTTAACACGTTGATCACAGATTGCCTGTTATTTATCACCTACATGTTGCCGGGCCACGTTTGTCAAAACCGGACCAGCTTTTTTTTTTGTTTGTTTTATTTATTGTGGAAGAAAAACATAATGGTAATTTACAAATAGTATAAAATCTGTTCCATGTTCTTTCTTTTTTAATTTTTTTTTTACATACAGTCCCCAATATCTCTCATTTGTAGTGGGCAAAGAAATAACTCATATACACACACACACACACACACACACACAAGCACACAAAAACACACAGAGAAAAAAAACAAAAAACGGGGTGGGGGGTTGTCCAATCACATTAGTTAGATGGTAAGATGTTCAATGATTTGCAATAATTCACAAAAGAGCCCAATATCCCATCAAATTTACTATAGTTTCCCTTTGCTATAAGACCAATCTTTTCCAATCTGAAAAATGACATTACTTTGCAAAACCACAGAGAAACTGAAGGTGCCTCAGATGATTTCCAAAGGAGTAAAATACGACGCCTGGCTAAAAGCGATGTAAAGGCCAACACTTTAGAGTGAGCAGGGTTAGTTAAAACAGTATTAACTGGAAACCCAAAGATAGCTAAGAGAGGGTCCATGCAGACCAGCTTTTTTATTAGATTTTTTCCCGTATCGCTACGTTAACACTGTAAAAAATGAAAGCTATTAAATTTGGATCAGGCCGCCCAAAGTCGACCAAATCCATTATGAGGAGAACGTTTATAACGTGGGAACTCTCTCTGCCCTTCCAGCTCATGCCACTAGATGCCTCCATCGTCGAGGAGCACAAGCGCGACATCTCGGAGGCCAAGCAGATCGCTCGCAAGCTGGTGATGGTGGTGTTGCCCTCGGAGAAGAGTGAAGACAAGGAAAAGGAGAAAGAGAAGGATGAAGAAAAGAACGACAAGGTGCCTGAGCCCTCGGTCTAATGTCAGATGCGTATTTTCCTGATTCTCTGTGCTGATGGATAATGAGGAGCAGATGTTTGCAAGCTCTGGATTTCTTTTTTTATCTTTGACAGCAGACTTTGCCGCTGCTTTGCTCTAATTAAGTACTTTATTTCCCCGTCTCTTTTATTGTTCCCACAGCCTCCCGATAACCAGAAGCTGGGTCTTTTGGAGGCGCTGCTCCGGATCGGGGACTGGCACCACGCCCAGAGCATCATGGACCAGATGCCTTCTTTTTACGCCACTTCTCACAAGGCCATCGCGCTGGCCCTGTGCCAGCTGGTGCACCTCACCGTGGAGCCCGTCTACAGGAGGTATGGGCTCCTGCCCGCTATTTATTCCGGGGGGAAAAAAAAGCACTTATCTTTTTCTGCATTGCCAGCAAAAAAAAAAAAAGATTAATTGAAAATCGAATTGAGTCGGAGAAGTAGGGTTGTCACGATACTAAAATTTTCAACTCGATACCGATACTCAGGAAAATACTCGATACTCGATACCATTTTCGATACCACAAGGATTAAAAAAAAGACCCCAAAATTTAAATGAATTTTGACAGGTTAGTGTCTTTCATTTCAAACTGACCTGTTACTGATGTTATCGTGACTGGTGGCCTGCATTAATAACCCTAACCCTAACCCTGACCCTAACCCTGACCCTTCAGCCTTCATAATTGTGAGAAATAAATATTTTTTGGTTAAACTTGTTTGGACTTATTGTACAAACCTATTTAACATACACTATTTTAACATAATCATATGTATAGAGTTTAATTAAGTGTTTAAAAGATTAATTTCACAATTTTTAAATGAATCTCTATATTGCCATGAGGCAATTAGGATTTTCTTGCCTAGAATCTTCGTATTGTTAATGTAATTATAATGGCCGACTTCGATGTGGGCGGAGTCGGATATGGACTTTATTAATGGTAGCACGTTATTATTAGCCATTAGCCGAAGCTAGCAGTTCAAGGCTAACAACTTGTTAATGACCATAAACAACGTAAAAAAATACATAAATAAATCTGAAAGAAGGGGGGCGGCGACGGCAGGTCGGCGGCGGGGGGGGGGGGGGGTATCGATACTTTTGAAAATGAGTATCGTATCCGGATACAACAGTTTAGTATCGATACTTTTTTGAGTATCGATACTTTTGACAACCCTACGGAGAAGACGAATGGTCTGACTCTGTGCTCTGCTCCCCGTAGAGCCGGGGTTCCCAAAGGGGCCAGGGGCTCCTCCCTGCACCCGCTGAGGAACAAACGAGCCCCCCGGCCCGCCGAGACGTTCGAGGACCTGCGCAGAGACACGTTCAGCATGCTGGGCTACCTGGGCCCGCACCTCTCCCACGACCCCATCCTCTTTGCCAAGATCGTGCGTCTCGGTAAAGGCTTCATGAAAGAGGTACCGGCTGCCAGAACCCACCACGTAAATCTCATTCTACCTGTAGCGTCCCCGGCTAATAGATGGTCGGACTCTTTTACTGATGGTTCATATCCTTTTTATTTGAACGCTATCATACGAACTCACCGTAAGAGCTAAAAGAAATTGATAAAATAAAGAATACAATTACGTTCCAATAAACAGTCTTTTAAACTTTACAGACAAATTACCGTATAATCTTAGATAAAAATAGATCGGAAAAATATTAACAGTCGATACCGCAAACACACTTGACTTATTTAAAACATTAATACAACTTAAAACCGGACACAATATGATACAAAAAACAATACAAACCTTGTGCCCTTTTAGCCAGGAGCTAATACCTTTTAAAGAACCTTTTTGAGACTTTAATGTATCAACCGTTTTTTTTTTCCAACGTTTTTTCAACGTTCCTCGACCGTCCCGTGGTCTCCCGAGAGCCCTTCAAAATAAAACGCTTTGTTCAAACATAAAGAAATATTCATCTATCCACGTAGTTTCACAACACAAATTACATAAGAAATAAGAACAACAACTTACATTTCATTAAAGGTAATCCTAACCTTTTTTTTTTTTTTCCTTTTTCTTTTTAGTACCAGAGTGATGCAAAACCTGAGGTCAAGGACAAGATGGTGAGCATAAAACTGAACGTCCTCACGAATATCGGATGGCTGTTTGAGATGAAAACGTTGTTTTTAGACCTGGTAAAACAAAATCTCTGTAGAGACTGAGACCAATTGTATGTTCGTTGCAGGAAATACTGCTGAGCTGTTTCCTGAGCATTGCAGACCAGGTGCTGCTCCCCTCTCTGTCCCTGATGGAGTGCAACGCCTGCATGTCTGAGGAACTCTGGGGTCTCTTCAAGCTCTTCCCCTACCAGCACAGGTGAAGGCAAACGCACACATTCCCATCACTCACCGTTCCCCCGTTCGATTAGAAACGAGGCAATGCTCCTCGGCGTGTTTTACGAGCTTCCACGCACTATTAAATTCAGTCAGATTATAGAAAAAAGGAAAAAATCTCATCTCTTCCCGCCTGAAGCATTGCAAGAGTTTGTATTTTTAGGACATTTGATTCAGCGTTTTAGCGTACAAGAACTGACTCACGTTCCCAACGCTCGTGTTTTCCTTTGGTCGTCTGTCATTTTGTCACGGCTAATCTAACGCAGCGTGCAAGCTTCCCTAAAATAGTCTACGCACGCATCATCGCTGTATGACACGCCACACGCTGCTGCCGAAGGTACATGTGGGGCGAAATGTAAAAGCAGTGCAGCTAATTTAAGTCTCTTTATTACTCGGTGAGCTGAATGCTGCTGAATTTAGACTTGCACCCTCATGGCTTGTTTGTTAACTCCTTAAATAGATGCGTAATGATTTAATAAGTCAAACAAATGCAGAGTATAAGAATCTTTCAGTGCCCCGTTCTGCTTTAAATGGATAGCTGAATTTAGTGCCTTTGCTTTCTGTATTTCACGCTCTCAAAGGTACCGGTTGTACGGACAGTGGAAGAATGAGACCTATTCCAGCCATCCTCTGTTGGTTAAAGTCAAAGCTCAGACAGTGGAGAGGGCCAAATACATTATGAAGTAAGTAACCCAAGCTGTTTTATTCCATGTATGCTCCCACTTGTAAGGCCTCTGTTTTAGCCACATCTCAAATTTATGTTGTTTTTTTCTGCCTTCCCTCGTATGCGTGGCTAATTTTGTCCTACATGCATGATTAGCCTCTCCTCCGGTCATTGCCATTTGTCTGGGATGTTTTTCAGTTTGTTAGTACTTAAATCTACTATAATCTGCATCAAACAGCCCAGAACACTGAATCGTTTAGGGCGATAAATCAGCAGAATTTACTTTTTTTAAACGACTTATGTTCCTTTTTTTTTCTAACCTCTCTAGATTTTTTTTTTCCCTAAACATGTTCAGGAAAACTGTAAGGTGCTAAATATGTGTGCTTTAAACCACACAATGATGATTTATTCAACTAAAATGGAGTGAGTTGTTTTTTTTCCTTCCCTTTTTTTGTTCTTCCAAGCAAGTAATTATTTTCACGCTGTCGTGCCATGAAAAATTTCCCACATTTCCTACTTTACACAACAGGGAATGCGTTTCCCGACTGATGTGAAGCCGGCAGAAATGTGTGTTTTTTTTTGTTTTTTTAATTCTGCCATTTCCTGTCATGTGCTTTCTCCCTCCCTAGGCGTCTGACCAAAGAGAATGTGAAACAGTCTGGAAGGCAGATTGGCAAGCTGAGCCACAGCAATCCCACAATCCTCTTTGATTATGCAAGTATATTTTTGCTCTAATTATTTTCATTTGAACGACTCGGGCAACCTGCAAAGACTAACTGAACCTAGTTATTTTGCTCGTAATACAATTCTTCTCGCTCCAAATACACCGCAAAGGATATTTTTCCATCAGTTCAGACTCTGATGGCTGCCTCCTGACTACAGATTAGTCATTCAGTCTAAACGGGAGCCGCCATTCGATTCTAAACGGCGTTGGCATCCAAAATACATAAGAATTATTCAAATTTTTTCAACTTGAGTAAAAACATGCCATGCTGATTGAGATTACAAGGCCAGATGCACTTTCATTTTTTACAATTTTACCATTATTTAAGCCTTTCTTCTGTCCTTTCTTTTGTCAGATGCTGTCTCAGATCCAGTGGTACGACAACCTCATTGTCCCAGTGGTGGATTCCTTGAAATACCTCACATCCCTCAACTATGACGTCTTGGCCTGTATCCTGCTGTTTTTAGCTTTGAAAAGGGTTTCTGTGGTACTCGGGCCAGTTTGCTCTCCATTTTTTTGTGTTATCCCCCTGAACTCTGTCTTCAGATTGCATCATCGAGGCTCTGGCCAATCCAGAGAAGGAGAAGATGAAACACGACGATACTACCATCTCCTCTTGGCTCCAGAGTATGTGTCTGCAGCCAGTTGCATCAATTGTTCAGGGAGGGAGACTCTTTGATGTGTTGGTGAGTTTTTCTAACAGTTTCCCATTCCGTTTTGTCATCCAAGGCCTGGCGAGTTTGTGCGGAGCCGTGTTCAGGAAATACCCCATCGAGTTGGCCGGCCTCCTCCAGTATGTCACTAATCAGCTAAAGGCTGGAAAGAGGTAAGGAACTCCATACAGTCCAACATAACCGACACAGGATGACCCGTCTATCTGGTATTGTAATGGTAATTGTTATTATTAATCGGTATGGTCCACAATGTAAGCTAACAGGCACAAGCAGACATGAACAAGAAATGGCTGTCAGTCCGTCCACGGCCATTTTGTGCTGTCCTTCATGTGCCGTTCTCCCTGCTGCAGTTTTGACCTGCTGATCCTAAAAGAGGTGGTGCAAAAGATGGCTGGCATTGAGATCACGGATGAGATGACCTCAGAGCAGTTGGAGGCCATGACTGGAGGAGAGCAGCTAAAAGCTGAGGTATGGAAAAAAAATCCTCTTTTTATTGATTTCTTTTTTTTTTTTTAGTCACACATTAGTATTGCTGCCTGTTCAGTGCTGCCTCTGAGTTGTGTTGTGTTTGCAATTGTCTCCGTGTACAGGGCGGGTACTTCGGCCAGATCAGGAACACTAAGAAGTCCTCTCAGCGTTTGAAGGACGCCCTGCTGGACCACGAACTGGCCCTGCCCCTCTGTTTACTCATGGCTCAGCAACGGAACGGGGTGGTGTTTTTGGAAGGAGGAGAGAAACATCTCAAACTCGTAGGGCACCTTTACGACCAGGTATGCGTCCTCAGAATTCATGTTTGAACTAAACATACCTGCCCTTCTTTTTCTTCTAAACGGTTCTTTTAAAAAAAATAATCTCTCATTGATTTGATTTTTTCGCCTGCAGTGTCATGACACGCTGGTGCAGTTTGGTGGATTTTTAGCCTCAAATCTCAGCACAGAGGACTACATCAAGCGAGTCCCCTCCATAGACATCCTTTGTAACCAGTTCCACACTCCACACGATGCCGCCTTCTTCCTGTCTCGGCCGATGTACGCCCATCAGATTCTGGTCAGTGGGCTGTTTCCAGTTTATTTTTGTTATCCATTTGTCGGATGCTCTAGTTTGTAATTAGCTCAGTTTCTCTGAGAGACCAGAATATATACAGCTCAAAAGAAGAACAAATGTATGCAATATGCAAAGGCGTCATGTTGCTCTGGGCAATAAATGCTAACCGCTAGCTAAAGTTTAGCTAACCGTTTAGCTAACTTTACCTAAGGAAGCGGGGGGAAGATTTGGAGGAGAGGAGTTTGTTTTCCCTAACGCTAAATTTCCCGCTAACAGTCGAAGTACGACGAGCTGAAGAAGGCAGAAAAAGGCAACCGGCAGCAGCAGAAGGCGCACAAGTACGTGTCGGCCTGCGAGCAGGTGATGACGTCCGTGCACGAGGCCGTGGTGTCCCTCCACCCGGCCCGGGTCTGGGACGACCTGCGCCCCCAGTTCTACGCCACCTTCTGGTCTCTCACCATGTACGACCTGGCAGTGCCGCACACCGCCTACGACCGCGAGGTCAACAAGCTCAAGGTCCAGATCAAAGCCATCGAGGAGAACCCAGAGATAGTGAGTATAAAGCTGCCAGCCGTCCTCCCTGTTAACCGAGTTTCCTTTAAAAAATCCCTTCAGATTGCAGAAAAACAGCTTAGAGGGAACGAAAATATGAATACTCAAAGCAATGTTTGTACGAAAATGATTAAGATAAGTCCTGGTGGTAATCGTTGGCGTTTTTGTGATCTCAAAACGCAATATTTCTTTTTGTTTCCTTCAATTAAAGCCCTTAAATAAGAAAAAGAAGGAGAAGGAACGCTGCACCGCCCTGCAGGAAAAGCTACAGGAGGAGGAGAAGAAGCAGCTGGAGCACGTCCAAAGAGTTCTGCACCGCCTCAAGCTGGAGAAGGACAACTGGTTGTTGGCCAGTAAGTGTCCTCATGTCGGACGTTTTCCAAGTGTGTCCATTCACTCCACGTACTGAGAACGGAAGTCCGTGCGACCGAGTTACTGATTGAAATTTTGAAATGCGTCGTGACAGAATCCACGAAGAACGAGACCATCACCAAGTTCCTGCAGCTGTGCCTGTTCCCCCGCTGCATCTTCTCCTCCATCGACGCCGTGTACTGCGCCCGCTTCGTGGAGCTGGTCCACCAGCAGAAGACGCCCAATTTCTGCACCCTCCTGTGCTACGACAGGGTAAGACGTCAAAAACCCCTCCAAAGCCATCATCACATTTATTGTGAACGTTTTTTATTGCTTTTAAAGAGAAACAGGTAGTCCGATAATGGTAAAAAGGGTATATTGCAACCTAATACAACAGAAAGGAACACATAAGAAACTAAATTAAAAAAGGAAACCAGGTGGCGACCCCCCCAACCCCCCAGCTTAAATCTCTATAGAGCTCTTACAGGACCTAAGAGACCATATTTACAACAACATATGCAAACAAAAATAGTGATTACTGGAATTCCTGCCATTGTTTGCCATGCTTGGGGCGTGGTAATTGTATGTGGAGGTTTCCAGTGAAAAGCCAGCCGGTTAGGAGAATACTTCTCCAGCATGTCCATTTTTTAATGAGGTATTATCATTCAGGAGTAACACAATGGGAGAACATGGTCCATCAACCTCCAGCACATTAGATAAAGTAGAGCAAACCTCACCCCCAAAAAACCCTCACATCCTTGCATTTCCAGTATATATTGTTGTGGAAATTCTGGAGCTAAAGTCTGAGTCCATTTAAAAGAATAAGAGATAGAAATGAAATGAGAGCAACCAGCACGTACCATGCAACATATCAAACTGCTCCAAAGTCAAACAAAATCATGTTTGATACCAGTCTGAGTCTGAAATGAGACATTAAGTCTGCCCCTTCATTCTGCACCAGTATTAAACAATCCTCAAGAATTGGACAAAATATGAGGAGGACTTCTCTTAGACCTTGAAGGAGGAGAGGACCTTTAAAATACTCAATTGTGGAAATTTACCAGAGAGAATAAAATAGAAAAGAAATAGAATAGAAAAGAAAATGATCATACATCTGTTGATTTCCCCCACAATCTGTACAAAGCGATCATCCAATCACAGCACAGCACCGTCTACCGGCCCAGGCTTTGCTTTGCTGTTTCCCTGATCGACTGTTCTTTTCCGAGTGCTTCTCGTTCAGTTTCCCGTCTGGCTGCAGGTGTTCTCCGCCATCATCTACACGGTGGCCAGCTGCACGGAGAACGAGTCCCATCGCTACGGGCGCTTCCTGTGCTGCATGCTGGAGACGGTGACGCGCTGGCACAGCGACCGCGCCGTCTACGAGAAGGTGCCCGCCTTTATTTGCAGGATTTCACTCCTCTGAGACGAGCAGGACTTGAATTTTTCGTGTTTTTCCGTGCAGGAGTGTGTCAATTACCCCGGTTTCCTGACCATCTTCAGAGCCACCGGGTTTGACGGAGGAAACAAAGTGGACCAGCTGGACTATGAGAACTTCAGGCACGTGGTGCATAAATGGCACTACATGCTGACTAAAGTGAGCCGCGCTTGTTTTCTTTTACCTATTTAACCAAATCAAAGTCATTCAGAGGGAAACCCTCCTTAACCCTGTAATGCCAAATGTCTCATATTTGATACACACGGTTTCTGAAATGTTTTGGGTCTGACACCTTATGCATAATTTAATGGTAAAAACTTTGCTCAAAAATCCTATTGTACACAATCAGATACACCTGATAACAGGGGGCAGAAGACTACACAAAAAATAATCCTGACTTATCGCATAGTAACAAATTATTAATATTAAACATGTATTTCTGTTTTTTATTTTTAACATTTTGTTAAAAGGCTAAATAAGGAATTCAAACCCCAAAAAATGAATTTTCTGTTTTGTTTTATTCTTGGATCAGGCTTTAAAGGGTTAATTCAAACCTTAATTATTATTCGATTCTGTTTTTTAACAAGGCCTCCGTTCACTGCCTGGAGACGGGAGACTACACGCACATCCGGAACATCCTGATCGTGCTCACCAAGATCCTGCCCTGCTACCCCAAGGTCCTCAACCTGGGCCAGGCGCTGGAGTGCAGAGTCCACAAGATCTGCCTGGAGGAGAAGGACAAGAGGCCAGACCTCTATGCCTTAGCTATGGGGTAACAGCCTCGTGTGCTGCTCGGCTCCACGTGGAGCTTTACACCTTACATCCACTTCAGAACGCACAGAGAAAACGAGAATCTGTAAACACTAGTGTTTCACAAGCTGCCGTTAGCATAAATAAGCTAATTTTGCAGGGGAGAGGTTACATATAACGATCAGTGTACCGTCACAGGGTTTTCTTTTTTGTTGTTTTTAGAAATGAAGCACAATTTAGAAAGATAGACAAGTTCTAAGCATTTTTGTTCATGTCTTTACCATTTTTTTCCTGATTCTGTACAAGATTTTTGTAGATGATCCTGAACTATCCATTATTTTATTCTCAAGTGTGAAGCTTTAAGTAAAAAAGCAGCATTAAAATGGTTGGCGAGAAATAAATGTTACACGATATTTAGATGAATACATTTACAACATGATCTGTTTACAGACTCACCTTTGAACACTTGAGATTTACATCGATTCTCACATTTAGAATTTTTAAAAGCTCCAAAAAAACCTCCAAAGCGCCAAAACTGAAGCTACCCAAAGGTTCATGCCCCCTTTGTAATCTTACTGGGACTTGGTAGAACCTGGGTTAGATTCCTTCTGCTGTCATAATTAAAGCCATTCATTTCACATCTGCATAATGTAACAAACTCAAAACACTACAAATTGGTCTAAAATATATTACTGAACTCGATTATAGACGCCCGGGATCATTTTAACTGAGAAATGTGATTGTGATAAAGTTTTAATTGGCATTGTGTGACACTCGGAAGCTCTTCTGTAGTTTCTTTTTTCCCCTGTTTTTTTTCATTGCTTTGCCCAAACTGTCTGTGCATCTTGCAGTTATTCAGGTCGCTTGAAAAGCCAGAAGGTGCACATGGTCCCCGAGAACGAGTTTCACCACAAGGACCAGCCAACCCGCAGTGCCACGCCCGCCGGGCAGCAGAACGGCCCCGTTAGCGCCGGGAAACCGGCCGCCGGCGCCAGCAAGGCCGACGACGGCGCCTCGGAGGACGGAGGTGAGACATTTAAGCCCCCAAAACCGCCTTTAAGCCGAGGGAAACACCCACATGGAGATCCCTCTTGTTAGGGATGGGGATCGAAACCCGTTTTCAAAACCCGAAAATCAATAACGTTTGGGCTTATCGATACCACTATCGAGTCTGGTCGTTTTTTTATTATTACAATAGTAATTGTGAAATCTGTGTTGTAATCAGCAGCATACAAGCTAGTTAGCTTGAAAAGTAAATAAAGTTTCAGACGTGCTGCGTGATGATGTGTTCAGATTGGCTCAGTAAAACGACAATTAGGTTATCATGATGCGTTCAAGTGTAACGTAAAGAAAAGGGAAATTGAGTTTTTGGCGAGAAACATGAGTAATACAGTTGTATATTGCTCTAATTATTTTAAATATATATAATTAAACTACTGATGCCAACATTTATTAAAAATGACATTTAATTTAAAATACAATTATTTATTTGCTAAATATTGTCGCATCGTCTTTCCACCAAATAACAGAAAAGTATCGATAGTAGTATCCATAAAGACTCGGATCGATAAGGAGTATCGATAAAGGCATCCATATCAATAAATATTAACGATCCCCATCCCTACCTCATGTCAGTTCGCAGCATACTTTCCCATTTTAAAACGGCGTCCACTTTCCGCTCGGCTCCTGAAATTCTTTTGGCCCTGGTCTGTTTTGACTTTTAGATCGAGTTAAAGATAAATCCCAAGGGACCACAAAGCCAGTGAACAAAGCCAACAGTGCAGCAGCCAAAGTGACCACCAGCAACGGGAACGGCGCCCTCAGCAGGTAGGGAGGCCTCTCCTTTTCTGTGGGTCTCACAGTCCACCCCAAGACTTCTAAGACAACTAAACTTTGTCATTTTTTTATGACTAGAGGAGATCGTTCCTTCCAGGCCGTTGCGCCAAAGCTTTGGAACGATCTCCCGCTCCCATTACGTTCTCTTGATTCTGTGGAAGTTTTTAAGAGCAAACTTAAAACCTCCTCTCTTTTGCAAATCTTTTTAACAGTTCCAGTGCATTCGATGTAGTTATGGTTTTTATTACATTTTAATGTTTTATGTAGTTATGGTTTTTATTACATTTTATTGTTTTATGTAGTTATGGTTTTTATTACATTTTGTTGTTTTATCTTGATGTATAATTGTGCACTTCTGTGAAGCACCTTGTGACCTTTGATGTCTGTGAAAGGTGCTATATAAATAAACTTTACTTACTTACTTACTTACTAAACCGGCTACGCACTCCTTTCGTTTTTTTTTGTGTCCTCGCAGCACCAAAGCTGTCAAAGAGCGGGACGACAAAGAGAAGAGTGGGAAGGAGAAAAAAGAGAAAAAGGAAAAGACACCGGGCAGCACGCCGGAGACAAAGGCAGAGACCCGGCGGGAGAAGCAGAGAGATGAGAGAGCAATGAAGGAGGAGCGGGTGGCGCGAGAGGGTAAGGAGAAGACCCCCAAGGCAGACAGGGAGAAACTGAAGCTGGAAGAGAAGGCCGGCAAAGACGACAAGGCCAAAGCCGGAAACGGGGAGCCGATGGATCCGTCCAGGGAGCGAGACGCCATTAAGGAGTCCAAGAGCAAGGAGAAAGGAGACAGGAGTGCAGCGGCCGGGTCCATCAAGTCACCGGTTCCCAGATCGGAGTCCGCTGAGTCTGAGAGGGGTGAGCAGCCCCCCGGTCCAACCCCCAAAGGGCGGGACTCCGTTATCATAGTTGATATTATCCATTAAAGAAATGATCATGTAAAAACATAGAGGAAGAGCACAGCTTTAATCAGTGAGCGAATCCTTTTTAAGTAGGTTGGGTTGTCACAATACAAACATTTTCTACTCGATACTCAGGAAAATATTCGATACCACAAGGATAAAAACAAAGAACCCAAAATTAACTTGAACTTTGACAGGTTAGTGTCTTTGGTTTCAAACTGACCTGTTACTGATGTTATGATGGCCGGTGGCCCACATTAATGTTGGCGTGTTATTATTAGCCATTAGCCATTAGCCGCAGCTAGCAATTCAAGGCTAAGGTCACGTTAATTATCATAAACAACGTAAATAAATAAATCAGAGAGAAGGGGGGGGATACGATACTCATTTTGAAAAGGAGTATCGTATCCGGATGGTTTTAGTGTCGATACTTTTGACAACCCTAGTTAATATTTCCCATTAAAGAAATTATAACCAGAATGTCCCTGTAGGAATAATCCCAAGGGGATGAATAAAGTTGAGTCTAAAGTTGAGTCTTATTATTTAAAAACATAGAGGAAGAGCCCATCTTTAATCATAATTTTTTTTAGATCTTCATCTTCCAGATGAAAAACGTGTTTTCTCTTCTTTTTTTTTCCTTCTTTCAGATCACAAAAGGCGAAAGCTCGACAGTCACCCTTCCCCGTCCCACTCCTCGTCTGTTAAGGTTAGTATGGCTTGAGGAAGGCTGTGCCCGTTTCTTCTCTATCTGCCCGGAGCGTTCCCTGCCGTTGCACATTCCAGCAGCAACCGTGAAGATCATCGAGGAGGCGGCGCCCGCCGGAGGCCCCGCCCGCCGGAGGCCCCGCCCACTGCCATGGGAGTCGGAAAGCGTTCCATGGACTTCGGCAGAATGTTTTTTGCAGAATCGGGAGAAATCCCCCCCCCCCCCCCCCCCCCCCGGCCCCCCCCACAAGGACTTAGAAGTCAAGAGAATATTGTATATATTAAGTATTTTCATATTGAAATATTTGCCTATTTTCATATAAGTGAAAGCAGTCAGTGTGCCTTGGGAAGAAATTTTTTTAAAGCGTTTCTATATTCGTGTGGATTTTTTTTGGCTTTTTGAAGATAATATTCACCAGAAGTAAAAGCGGCTTGCCAAATCAAGAGCTCTCCAAAGGCTTTTTTACATTTTTTTTTTATTTTTACTCCACTGCAAGCAATATTTTGCTACTTGAAAAGGTGCCCAAGATTTTTTTTTTTTCCCTCCACTTCCCCTTCTCCCTCCCAACTAATTTTTGCGAGCTGAGAAGATTTTCCTGGTTCAAAGCGATGTGAGGCGTTCTACCTACGCCCCCCCCACCCCCCACACCCAACGGTCCCCGGACACAGCCAACAGGAAGACATCCGACAACCTGCTCTACTACCATAACTACACCAGGGAGTCCTCGCCCCCCCCCC